GAAATCACTTAGCCTCTCTCTCCTCCTCTCCTTTCTCCTCCTCCCTCCCTTAACCCTTCTCTAACGCCCCCTCCTCCTCGCTCTCCCCTCAGTCTTCCCACTTACTTTATCCAGTAGTCAGCGAGAGAATTCGACATGTACAGTTTCCAGCGAGTCTCCGGTTCTGTTTGCACGCGACCATCATACATGGCGATTCCCTCCCCTCCCCCTTGCTCCTCCTTGCCTTCTCCTCCTCCTCCTCCTCCTCCTCCTCCTCCTCCTCCTCCTTTTCATCCTTCTCCTCCATCTCCACCTCCTCCACCTCCTCCACCTCACCCGGGCTGCAGCTTCACTGGGTCATATACGTCATTAGCTCGGTCATCGAGCAGCATAGCAAACTGCACGGACGGCCAGTGAGTATGTCGGAGGAAGAGAGCGAGGAGCGGTAGAGGAGAAGGAGGCAGGAAGGAGGAGGAAGGGTTAGATGCCTGCAGGCAGCTCAACGTTGTAGCCTTGCTGTCCTCAGTGGTTCTCTTTATCAGCTCCAACGCCTTGTCCTGCTCCGATCTGTCAAGGAGAAAAGAGGCGAGCGCTCGGGGCAAGGGAGGACCTCTGTCCACTGCTCGTCGGTGCTGCTCTTCTGGTAAGTGTTCATGAACTGACAAAGCTGCTTCGCATTCAGGAGCTCCTCCTGCACCGTCGTCATCCGTCCGACTGCCGCCGACAAGGGGAAAGGGGAGGCCTCGGGCACAGCACCTTGTAAGAGTTCCCTCCTGACTCTCTGTGGATCTCGCGCATGATGTTCTGCAGAAGCACGCTAGCGGTCAAGTTGGTGAAGAGGAGGAGGAAGAAGGAGCGGTAGAGCAGGACGTGAAGAGGCGAAGACGTAGGAGGATGCAGGCAAGGGGCTGCAGCATGAGAGCTGGGCACTTGCAGCACAGGAGGGATGGTGGGGGGAGTCGAAGCACCTTCACGTCGGCTCGGTTCCCCATGAGGTTGTTCATGAAGGTCAAGAACTGTGTGGCGTCGAGAGAGAAGTGAGAGTTGTCAGCCTTCATCGCCTGCTCGCGGATCCACTTCCTCTTTGCCATCACGTTCATCTTCCTCAGCAGCTGCGAGCGGCACAGGGTCAAGGGAGGGGAAGTGGCAGGGGACGCCCTACCTGGGTGACTTCCTCCAGCGTCAAGTTCTCCGATCGATCCTCGTCCGCACGATTCCACTGCTCCATCAGGTATCTGTACGCGCGTGCTCAGCATGAGCTGGGAGGAAGGGGCGGGTGGGGGGAGAGAGAAGAGAAGGAGCTCTGGACCTCCTGTAGTGGTTTCCCGTAGAGAAGGTAGCCGTCCTCCCGTCTTGAAGCAGCTGCTTGTTCACCAGCAGCTGCAAGCGACTTGAGTCGACGTCACAACGCTCCTTTCACCTCCCAGCACCTTGAGGGTCCGCACCCACAACTTGGCGATATCTTCGGTCTTGGCAATCTTGCCGCAGGTTCAGCAGACTTGCAAGGCAGCACAGCAGCTCCTTACCAGATCAAGTGACCTGTCGTGTGTGACCACCGAGAACGATCTGGAGTTTCTCTTAGTAAACATAACAGCCATGTCAGAGCTGAGCTGACTTGGAGATCTGTTCGTTGCTTGACACTTTGGTCTTTCTGTTGAAGTTGGTTGTGTTCTGCAATTCACTTCTATGAGCACAATCAAGCAACCCTGCGCTTGCTTATGTTCTGACCTGTCCGACCTCAACGCGAACGATATGAGAGACTTCAAGGTGTCTGCAGGGACGTTCACAACTAGCACGATCATGTTACAGATGGGCACAACACAACCTTGTCCCGCTCGCCAGCGCCTTGGCAACGATGCTGAAGTGACAGGTCAGCCTCTAATAGCCACAGGCCATTGCGAGCAACCTTGAAGGGTTCCAACAAATCCAATCATGTGCCGCGCTGAGATAAACGTATGTGTACGCCGACTTGCCATGCCGGCCAAGTTTCAGCATCTTCTCTTGCAGCCCATGCTTGGTGGTCGCGAAATTCTCAAGCAGACGACACGCCTTGGGGAGAAACTCGTTGTCATCCTCTACCTGCAGCAACTGCCAGGTTGAAATTTCACTTCGCCTCATCTACCCTCACAAAACCATACCGCCCGGGCTTCTTCATGCACTTGCTCGTGATCCGCATGTTTTGACTTCTTTGAAGATGGCATTTGGTCACTCTTGAACGAGATCACAGGCCAGCAGTCGTCAGGGCATCCTTAAGTTGCAAGGGTCAAGCTCTCGTGTATGGCCTCTGCCATATCCTCAACATCCTGAGAGAGCAAGTCAGTCCATTTCAAGCCTCAAATCATTCGGGAAAGTTCTGTTGTTGAGAAACACTTCGCTTCTAGCATGGCAGCACATCATCACGAAACCATACCCAAGAAAAACCAATCCTGATATGAAGTTTGATGAATTTACTTGCCACTCTAATGGGGCATGTCCGAGTTCCGATCTACTTCACATCACCGTTTTCTCTAGTATCTGCCTTTCATCCACCCTCGTGAGAGCCTCTCCTTCCTTCCCTCTCCTCCCTTCCTCCCTCCTCCTCCTCCTCCTCCCTCCCTCCCTGGCCTCGCCCTTCCCCCCCAGCGATCCCATCAAGCGCAGGCATGTCAACCCGAGTCACTACTGCCACCGTTATTAAAGAAGGGTAGGGTACCCTAGTGACCACCCCTTCTTTACTTAGCCCTACCCGGTAACTGTCCACGACCCCGAGCCAGCTCATTACCCTACCATAAACCCTCATAAAGACCGGTACAAGTAGCGTTGGAGGTACACCCACCCCAGCTGTCAAACGGAGACTACCCCTCCTCCCGGGGCTCCCATCCACGCCGGGCGGGCCACGACAGGAAACTTTCGACGAAACTTTGGAGGAAATGAAAGTTTTGCCAAGAGTTTGTTGTGACTAAAGTTCGGAACAAAGTTTCTAATATTACCGCGGCCTTGCGCGAAGAGACAAGTAGCCATGCTCACCCAGGTAAAATGCACGGGAAAACTGACTCACGCGCCTCTATGCTTCTCCTTCCCGCCTTCCGTCCTGACTCTCTCTCTTCCTTCATGGCTTTCCTCTTTTCTCTTCACTTCTACTTTCTTTAAACCCCTCCCTTCGGATTGCGTTTCCCTCTCCCTTCACTCCCTTCGTCAAACCTTTCCCCTTTCATTCTGCTCGCTCCAATCGTGTCTCCCAACTTCCCTGCCTGCTCTCATCCACAATTCTTTTTTCTTCCTTCTGTTTGCTCCCATCCTTCCTCGCATACTGTCTACAGTAAAGAGATCAGTCTACTTTCCCTCTCCTCGTTTTAATCGTCATGGTTGTCCATGTCTATGTTGTGGCAATTCCCCCATGCTCATCTCGATTTGCATCTCCTCTACCGTACCCTCGTTCTTTTCCCATGCCCTCGTTTGTCTGGTCAGAATGATAATTGTTCCAACCTCCTTTTCTTGGTTGTGTCATCACTTAGCATCCATTTGAATCATTTCCTCGCTAAGTGCGTTTGCTGCTGTTGCTACTGGTGGTGCTGGTGTGCTGAATCATCCTGTTTGTTTGTTCAGCTTGCCAAGGCAATCCCATACAACCTTCAGTTCAGCACCAGCTACAACGTGCAGATGTCCCTGCACAAGCACACTGGCAACAGGGAGACCGAGAGGCTCGAGAAGATGCTCGCATGGATGCCCGGATCCCACGAGCACGATAGCCCTGTAATCCTCCTCCCTCCTCCCCGGCACGTGAATGACGACATGCTTGCAGGCTGCGGAGATCGACGAGAAATCTTTCTATGGAGGAAAGATGTAAATTTTCTTCTGGAGGCCTTGTGGAGTGTGGATTTTAGTTTGAATCTTGGTTTATTTAAAATGGAGATGATCCGGACATGGTTCTATGGGGGCATGACGAGAGCTTTCTTGCGTCATCCCATGAAGAAAGACTCTTCGTCGTCTTTGGATGTTGCTGGAATCAAGTTGGACTGCGTGGAGATCTTGTTGGAGGGGGAGGGAGAGGTGCCTTTCTCAGGGACGTACAGCTGCATGTGGAGCTGTCGCACAAGCACGGAGGTGAGAGACGGTCCTGGGAAGCAAGCAAACCCTCACCTGCGTCATGCTCGGCTCGACCTCCTTGAGCTTCTGTGCGATGGTCTCGTTCAGCTTGAGGGCCTCCTGCACACGCTTCCTTTCGTTGTCAAACTTGCTTCTTGCCTCCTGCTCCTTCAGCTTGCGAGACTTGTCATCTTCCATCTTCCTCCGCATGTCTTCCACCAGCCTGTTCTCTCGCAGCTCTGCGTCCTCGCGCATTCGGCGCTCGTTACGCAGCTGAGGGCATGTGTGAGTCACGGTGCAGTGAGGAACAAGATAAGAACGACATCTTGCTCAAGCTTTCGTATCTGACTCTCCATTCTCTGCCTTTCTTCCTCCATCTTAAGCAGAAGAGGTCAGGAGGGACAAGAAGGGAAGGCGAAAAAAAATCAGGCTCTTTACCTTCTTTTTGAGATCTTCAATGTACTGCATACGGAGATTCTCCTTCTCTTCAGCTTTCCTCGCGTCGTCTTTGTAGGATTCCTGCCAACAGCAACAACAAACATTGTTCAGGAGGGCGAATAGACTCGGCAGACTATTGGAAGTATCACCTTGAGTTTCAAGAGGTCGTTCCTAATGGCGGTGGCTTCCCTTCGGGAATCACCAGTGGAGTTGAGTTCTTGTTTCAGACGTGCGATCTCTTCATCCTTGCGAGCCATCAGATCGTTCATGTCTAGGTACTTCTGATCGAACTGCACGCCCCCGTCAGTTGAACTTTCAGCCAGGCACCGCGGGCGTTCATTACATCCTTCCGCTGCTGGTCCATGTGTTGCCGGTACCGGAGCAGCTCCGCAGCATCATGCGCCTTCTGCAAAACCAGTTCACTTCAGGCTCCTCTCAGCCGATCACGGCAGTCACCTGCGTCTCCAAGTGGGAGTTCTGCCGTTTCAGCCGATCGATCTCGTCCTGTCGTCACCCTGTAACCACACTACGAGGCAGGGCAGGCGGCAGTGGCTACCTGGAGAGGCTGGGTAGCCTTCAAGGACTCGAAGTATTCTGGCGATCCTCTCCTGCAGACAACAAGGTTCACTTCGCCAATGTCGCATAGCAATGTACGGCTCACATGAGGGGGACATCGTAGTAGGTGATATCAGCCCCTTCTCTCCTTCGGAACCCTAGCGTAACGTACGTCCCTACCCCCGTCGTCAGCGCCCATGAGCACTCGATCCCCCATCTCTACCTGTGTGCCAAGTATTCCTGTGCGCAGGATCGCAAGCGGCTGGCCCTCCACATTGTCATGATCCACCCTCACCACAACATCTCCCATTCGAATCACTCCGCTGATCAATCAAATGAGCAACTCTTGCCATGGAATGCCGCTTCTTCACCTGCGATCGGCGGAGCCTCCTTTCACAATGGTCTTCACGAAGACTTCATTGGAGTCGCTGTCTTGTTGAAAGAAGATGCCGACACCAGCCAGATCTAGTGGCACGTTCAGACAGCTTCACAGTGAATAGAAGAGACTCACTTGACGAGGATGCAGCCATGGAGTTGTCGTTGTTATCGATAGAATGCTTGGAAGCATAGCTTCCAGGAAACGACTCCGTAGATCGTGATCGATCCATTCCATCCGTGTTCATTGCTGGGTCATAAGCTCCTGGACAAGAACGGCAATCTCAACACGTTGGCCAGAACTGTCAGTGCTTGGGAATCTCTCTCTAGATTAGATTTGACAATCATTCCCGTGTAATTCACATCCATACTCTAAGTAGCCCCATTGACTGCTTTGAAAACATAATCTTACTCCTATTCTTATTTCAGAATCCTCATGCGCTTGACCTCAAGCCTTCTTTGGTACCGACCGGCCTTGATACGCTACTCTCTCCTGAGAGAATTTTGAGTTTTCCAGCAATTCCTTCCTTCGTATACAGCTCGCTCCATGTTCTGTATTCTCCTGCCCATTCCTTCGTCTTCCGATCTCCTTCCCCTCTCCTCTTTCCTGCTGCTCCTGCTCCAAGCCCCTCCGCTCCTCTCTGCTCATCTTCCTTCGAATTCCACAACTTTCAAACTTTAGATATTTCAACGGAAATCCCGAACTAAAAGTTCCAAAGTTTGCAAAGTTTCGTGCCGGGCCGCCGCGCCCGGCGCCGGGGCCCGGCCGCGGCCGGTCATCTTGCGTAACAGTCACGGCTGCGCCGGGCGGCACTCAGGCTCGCTCGGGGCGGGGCCGCACTGAGTTGACGTGACACGGCGGGGGTGACAAGATGACATACGCTCAGTGGAGAGGCGGAGGAACATCATCGGATCCAGGCGGCCGCAGCGAGCAAGCACGACACTGTCAATGAGGAAGCCTGGGATCGGGTGGGAAGGAAAGAGACGGTTTACTTCTTCTTCTTGCCGCCTCCCTTCTTGCCCCCCTTCTTCTTCGTCTTGAGAAACACCTCCCTCCCCTTCCCCACAACCGTCACCACCCAACTCTCGCACGAGCAGAGCAGCTACCTTGTGCCCCCGCAGGCAGTTCTGGATCAGCAGCGCCGCGTCGTTGAGCCTCTTGGCCTTGGCTGCTTTTTCAAGCTCATTCGCCGACTTGAGAAAGAAACTCGAGGTCAGCTCCTCCTCCTCCTCCTCCTCCTCCTCCTCCTCTCCTGCCCCCGAGTTGCTATTGTTTCCCTTCCCACCCCTTCCCTGCTGTCCTCGTTCCCATCCTCCCTACCTGCATGACTTCCATAGCATACTGGGCACCTTCGATGAGCCTGAAGGCCTCGAAATGATTCTCCAGGCGCCGCATCCTCGCCTTCTCGGCCGAGTACTGTGAGCAAGAGCGTCAGCAAGCAGCGACAGTCGACGACTGTAGTCACGCCACCTGCTCTCGCAGCGCCGTCATCTCCTCGTTCAACGTCTCCATCTCCTGGTCGTATTTCTGCAAGGAGATGTTCAGCTCCTCCTCCTCCTCAGCGCGATGATACCAAGATCCAAGCTTCCACGTCCGTCTCCTTCTTGTACGACCTCTTCTTCATGCTCTCCTCCTTCTCCAAGTTCTCCTGCACAGACCCATCAAACGCCAACTGCGCCCCCAGCTCAGCCCCACCTGCTTGATCTTCTCAAGCTCCGTCGTCACTTCTTTGAGTTTCGCCTGCTCAATCCGGTCAGCTCCACGTGCCCTCCCCCCCCTCCCCCCCCTCCACCTCCCCTCCTCCGGTCGCCGCCTCACCGTCAGAGCCTCCACTTCCTTGGCATGAGCTTGCCGGTCTGCCGCACTGTTCCCTTCCCCTACCGCCTTCCCCGCTTTCGCTGTCATCTCCTGCAGCTCCTCCTTCTCTGCCTGCAGCAGCGCTCAGCCAACAAGGCAGGGCGGTGTAGGAGGAACCTCCAGCGTCGCGATCTGATTGTCTCGGGCCCTCACCGCCTTCTCCCTGTCCCGTTTGACCTGCCAAGGAGGAAGAGGCGAATCAGGAAGAGCACAAGGGCAAGCGCGAGGTGGAGGTGTGGGGAGAGAGCAGCACACCGTCGCCAGGTCCTTCGTGAGCATCCTCTCCTGCTCGGCTAGAGTCTTCTCGCGGACTGAGACGTTCTCGAAATTTTCTTTCTCTGCCTTGTCCTCTTCGACGCTCGTGCTGCAGGGCGGCGGGAGAGCATGTGAGAGGCAGCAAGGGGCTTCCACGAGCAAGAATGTCTTCACCTCAAGCTCCTCAGCGTCTGTTCACGAAGCCCTTTCATCACCCTGATGAACTTGTCCACATATGGCGATGACTCCTGGTGTAAACCTCGCAACTTTGTCCGCTGTACCATCGTCAACTGTCAACTTCTGAAAGGTAGGGGAAAGGACATCACCAGGCTAGGGTTCTTCCGCAAAAACCTACAAATCTCCCTCGTGTTCTTCCTCAGCCTCCTTGCAACGTCGAAGAACTCCTGCACTGCTTCGTCCTGCCCAGCTCGTCATGACATCCATTCTCAGCCCCCCTCCTCCTCTTAGTGACGGCAACCGCACCTGCTGCGCCTGGTCGGGGTCCGAAACAAACTCCGAGACAGGCCTGCAAGCGTTGGATCAGTAGACGCGCTCTCTCGGCATCAACTGCTACTTCTCCATGTTCTGCACCAGCTCTCGAAACCTCTTCTCCAGCTCGAGCTGCATCGAGAAGGATCGCTCGTTCTCCTTCTCGACCGTCAGTCCCCTCAACCCCTCCCGAGAATCTCACGTGTCCGACGAGCTGGGAGACGTCTTGGATCTCGCTCAGAGTTTGCGGGTTCAGGCTTCAGCACGGCGTCAGCTCGCGGGTGCCTCAAGGCAAGCCTCCCTCCTCATACCAGAAGGCGAAGTCGAGGTCCTCGATGAGCTCGTCCAGCACCGCCATGACCCTCTTCGCTCAGGCGATCAGCCAGCGACAACAGGGAGGGATGCGAGTACCTGTGCTTCGACATTGGTGAGCTGATAGCTGCCGCTCATGTCTGCTGGCAGCTCCTGCACAGACTTCAGGGAGAGGGTCTCTTCCGGGTACTGCAGGAGCATCGTCAGAGCACGTTGGCCAGTGCGTTCACGCTTCATGTGTTGCTCTCCTGGATCTCTTGGTATTCCTTTCCCAAGATGTTTGAGCATGGAAGACATTCTATTCTCCAAACTCCATATCCTCCCCAATCTTTCCTTGACTCCTGATTTCTCTACTTGTCTATCTTTCTGCTGCTGCCATTTTGTCCTTCTCTCCTTGTGTCTTCCTCACAACATGTCAGTCTCTCTCTGTCTCGCTGTTGCTGCTCCTGCTCCTCCTGCTCCTGCTCCTGCCCCTGCCCCTGCCCCTGCCCCTGCTCCTGCTCCTGCTCCTGCTCCTGCTCCTGCTGCTCCTGCCCCTGCTGCCCCTGCTGCTCCTGCCCCTGCTGCTCCTGCCCCTGCTGCTCCTGCCCCTGCTCCTCCTGCTCCTGCCCCTGCTCCTCCTGCTCCTTCCTTACAACGCTGGTAGGGAATCGCCAGGCCGTTGGCCGTCAACAGCACCACCTCTACGTGTTCATGTACTACCCCTGTGGAGGTACCCCCCATGCATGTTCTGATGCTGCGCATGACTTTTTAATTGCTCATTCAGAGTAGTTTTCATAAGTCAGCCATTAATATAAAATCGATATCTTGTCATATATAGACCCGTTTAATGGAATACAACAGTACCCCTACCATGATCAGATTTAAATGGACTACCCCTACCTCTTTAAAAGGTGTGATTGTCCAAAAGGAAAGCGCCCGATTGTCTGGAGGGCGATGGAGGGAGGAGGAGGAGAGAGGGAGCAAGGAGGAGGAGGAGGAGGAGGGAGAGGGGAGAGGGTGAGGAGAGAAAGGAGGCAGGGAGCGAAAATAGGAAGCGGGGAGGGAAAGGTGCCAGAAGAGAAGTCGAGACAACCTAGCTCAGAGGAGGAAGTCTGGATCCGTGGCTGAAGCTTCAGGTTTCGCAGACATGAAGATGAAACGGCATCAGAGCTTGGACTGAACGTTTCATGTCCCGTCACTCATCGTTCTACAGCCCGTCTCCCTCCAAGACACCTCCCAGCCACTCCAAAGGTAACCTCAGAAGGTTTTGACTTCATGCCCTCACACCATAGAAGCCGCCGAGTACCCAACGCCGTCGAGGAGCGTACTGTCGAGGTCTGCCATCGAGACCTCTCAGAGAGCGACAGGTCGTGATGTTGTCTGTGCTTGTGCTCCTCACGATGAAGCAGACGATGCCAAGAACGAACTCCATCGAACTGTGCTCGATCCTCCTCCCCTTCCTCCCCAGGATCTGACAATACCGCAGAGAATCCTGCTAGCCAGCGCGCTGAAAGAGTTGGACCACTACAAGGTTGTCCTTTCCCTCTCCGCCCTTGAGCGATGTTCTGATGCGATCGCCTCCTCGTGGTCAGAGGAAGAGCGCCACGGTGCTTGACGAGCACGACAAGAGCTTCAAGGTGGTCTGCTCTCCCCCGCCTTCCTTCCCTCCTCCCTCCCTCTCGCCCTTCCTGACATGCTCCTGCTCTACAAGATCTTGGTGCAAGAACGAGCTTTCATCTACCTCGAGTCGGTTAGTTTCCTCTCCTTCACTCCCTCCTTTCCTGGCTCTTGCCCAGATTCCAACCCTGGCTATTTCCCCTTCCTCTTCCCCCCCCCCCCCCCCCCCGCAACCACCACCACACATGGTTTACTCTGTCGCGTCAGGAACGAGCATACTTTCTCAACAGGCTGAAAGCTCTCTGGGGGGTGCAGCAGCGGCTGAGATGCAAGACAAGAACCTTCAAATGCTGGCGCCTCGCTGCCTCACAAGCGGCGCAAATTAGGAGGATGCATCGTAGGCCATGAGGAGAGCCGAGAGAGAGAGAAGAGGGAAAGGTAGAGATGAGTAAGGCAGGGAGCAGAGGAGAACAGAGCAGAGCAGAAAAGGAGCGAGGAGATGGAGAGGACGGGCAGAGCAGAGCAGAGGAGGAGCGAGGAGAGAGGAGAGGGGAGGGGATGGGAGGGGAGGGGAGGAGAGGAGAGGAGAGGAGAGGAGAGAACAGGAGAGGAGAGAACAGGAGAGGAGAGGAGAGGGGAGATGGAGTCGTGACAAGAGTGAAGGTCATCCTCGTTAACCGAGTGCAACGAGATCAAGGAATGCAGCTCAAGTCCTCGGCGATGATGTGCCTGAGGACAAACACCTGGGTGACGTGTCATACCTTCGCTCTGATTGCTGAATGATGCGTTTCACAGTCACAAAGTCCTCATGTAATGGAGGACTTTGCTGCCATGGTAGTGCTGAAAGCATGTTCTTGTCGTGAAGTGACCCGAACGTGAAGGTGAAGGGGTTTGGGTTGTGGAGGAACTGCGCTCACCGAGAGTCGAAGGCGAAGGTGGAGGGAGCGCTGGAGGAGGAAAAGTTTTGACAAGGGCATGCGGTAGAGGATGTGACATGTGCTGGCAGGCTGTGAAGCTCGGAGAAGATCTCACGCACGATAGGTGCGGGAGTTGAGCTGAAGGATGAATGACTGCTGCATGTTTGCTTGTGTGAATAGATCATGTCTGAGGGTATGAATGATATCCATTAGTTTATCTATTGAGATATCTGTAAGTAGAATGATGTTTGTGGGTGAGAATGATGTTGCTTCGTATCAACGATCACTGTCAATCAGAGTTGTCACGGAGAGTAGAAGAATGTTCGTGTATGCACTTTCCTCTCATCGCAGCCTGCTCCAGGAAGCATCTGCACAAGATGACCCACAACATGTTCCATGTCTCAGTTGCGAGGATGAAGAACAAGAACCTGAAGACGAGTAAGTGACTGGTGCATGTCTACTTTCCCGCTCCCTCTGATTCTTTCCAGGGCTGTTCTGGCAATGGATGTCACACCTTGCCACAAGGCGGCAGCAGACGCGCAAGCTGTCGCAGGTTGTGCTGCTGTGTTGATGGGGGTGAAGGTTGATTAATGCTGGTGATGATGTTGAAAAATGATGATGTTGACGAGGATCTTGATATGTGTATGATGATGATGCTGATGATGATGATCGTGGTTGTGGTGATGATAGTGGTGGTGGTTGTGGTGATGTAGATGTAGATGTAGATGATGATGATGATGGAGACGAGCAGGCTGGTCGGTTATACCGCAAGAAGTTAGCATTGCGATCTCTCCAACGCTGGCTGCTGCTGCTGAGGAGGTGAGGAGGAGGAAGTTAGTGACTGGGCTGACGTCAGCTAGGGAGACAGCGAGGAGGCTCGTCCTTCTGGCGACCTGGGGCCTTGTGGTCCACCGTCGAAGTTTAGCTGGGGAAGGTTCTGACAGGTCTGCTCCTCCTCTACCTCTTTGAGCCCTCCCCCCCACCTCCTGCTCCTCCTTCTTCCCCTGGACCCCTTCCACCTCTGCTTCCTCCACCTCTCCTCCTGCTCCTTTCAAGCTCCTCATCATGCGAATCTCTAGAGACGTGCTGGAGCTCGTGACGGGAACGATGGGGGTGAGTGCGGCTGCGGCTGTAGCGCGCGATGCCGGCAACATGACTGACCTGCTGCCATGGAGATGGAGGGCGACTCCTGTCTCAGAGGACGTGCAGGGAGCGAGGAGGCAGCGCAGCGGAGGCGAGGACGGGCTGGTGCCTTGAGTAGGTTGACGCTGATGCAGATCACTCCTGGGATGGCGGAAGCAAGTGCGATGGACGAGGAGAGCGAGGATTGTGCTCTGTATGCTGAGATCTGAACAGCTCACGTAAGAGTCTGGGGAAATGAGGAGGGAGAGAAAGAGGAGGAAGGAGGCAGGGAGGCATGGGGAAAGGGGAAGGGGGGGCGGTTGGCAGCAGGAGCAGGAGCAGGAGCAGGAGCAGGAGCAGGAGCTGTGTGTAAGTTGACGAGGTTGCAGATGCTTTTACATGTGGAAGGTTCTGGTCTCGTGCCTGATGAGGGCGCGAAGGTACAAGTTACAAGGGGTGATGACATGCTGGAGTGAGGGATCCAAATCAGCTCATGTGACCAGTTCTTCTCCCCGCCCCCCTCCTTACCCTGCTCCTCCTCTCCTTGCTTCTCCTCATCCCGCTCTTCCTCTGCCTGTTTCTCTCCTCCTTGCTCCCCATCCCTTTGAATCCTGGGTCCCTCCTAACCTCCCACCTGTCCCAGCCTTTCCCTCCTCCTCTTCCTCCCCCTCCTCTTCGCCCCTCCCCTGCTGATGTTCGTGCTTGGAAGCTCCGACGGGTCTGGAACGAGAGCTATGTCGACAAGGTCTCGATCAGGCGGCACCGCCAGCGGCTGCAGAGAGTCTCGCTCATGGGATGGGCTCAAGTGAATCGCAACATGCACGTCAGACGGCGACAATCCATCCCTCTCTCCTCTCCTCTCTTCTCTCTTGCCCTGCTCTTCTCCCCTCTCCTCTCGTCTCCTCCCCTCCCCTCCGCTCCGCTCCTCTCCTCTCCTTCCCTCCCCTTCATCTTTCGTCCTCTCACCTCAACGACTTCTCCAGGTCGCTAGGAGGGTGCTGGCGAGGAGGAGGACCTCGATCAAGGTCCAGCGCCTTCCGCAAGATCGTCTCCTCTTCTTCTGCTCACCTCCTCTCATCTCAGTCTCACGTTCTCCATGCCCTGCTCGTCTACCGCAACAGCGTCATGGAGAGCAAGAGGATGTGAGAAAGGTCCCCCCCAGCCCCTGACCCTCTGAAACGCCCGCAGTTGCAACCAGTGCTACCGTGTACAGGAGATGGAGAAGCTGGCTGCTGCCCTGACCTCCTGGCATCGACGCACAGCAGACAACAAGGTTCATCCTTGCCCCCTCCTACCCTCCGTGACCTTTTACTCCCCCACTTCCTCCTGCTCCTCCTCCCCTCCGCTGTAAATTTCTCCTCCTCCTCCTCCCTCAGCAACTTGCTCTTCTCCCTCCCCATGTGACTTGCTCCTCCTCCCTACTCTACCCTCCCCAGTGACTTTCTTTCCGCAGGCCGTGAGATCGTTGGGGAGACGTCTGCTGCTCCGGCATCAAGTGAATCATCTCAGTCCGCCTGCCCCTGCCCCTCACAGCCTTGCAGAGACGGAAGCTCTCCTCCTCGTTCTCCCTGCTTGCCCGCCCCGCCCTCCTCCTCGCCAGGTTGAAGGACTTCCGCAGGTCACTTGGCTCCTGTTCCCTCACAGCCCCTCACTCGCCGTGCAGGTCAGCAGACGTTGGTGACACTCGCTGGTTCTTCACAGCGTAAGTTTTGGTGTTGGTGAGAACAGATCGCTCAAACGCGTTTCCAGGTGGATGTGCGTAGTGCGAGAATACAAAGTGTAGATAGAGCCAGAACAAGCAACACGATGATTTTATCCACAACTTTTATTAAAGGCGATTACCATGAAGCTTCACGATACAAATTACAAAAAATATCTCTAGCTTACGATTAAGATATAGCATGATTTATCAGGTTCTTCTACAAACAGTTTCAAGGGGGAACGTTGGTAAACGAGTTCATCTCTGGCTGACCGCGGGACGAGCGCTTTTGCTGGAAGGAAACAAGTAAGCACAGCGACAGGCAAGGACGCAACGAGATTCAATGCAATCGTACCTTGTTTGAAACCCATCCTCCCATTCCCTGCCAGGGCCCCATGCCTTCTGGTCCTGCATTGGGCATGTTGCCGGCCTCAGCTGCTCCTGGGGGAGGAGCAGCTGCCATTCCCGGCCACACCATCCCCTCGCCCATCCCCGGCATCATCCCGGGCATGTGAGGCATGCCAGGCATGGGGTAGTGATGAAGTTGCCCATGCCACCACCCTGCCGCATACCCGCCGGGGTGTCCAGGGATGGGGCCCATATGACCCCCGGGGTAGCCTTGCGCTTCCCATGCTGCTGGGTCCAGACCTCCACCTTGACTCAACCGCTGGAAGGCCTGCGCGTTGCCGCCTTGTGCTTCCCACTGCTGCATCATCTTCGGATCGTGTCCAGCCCAGGAAGCCGCTGATAATCTTCCATCGCCGAAGGCGCCGGGAGGAATAGGAGGGCCAGGATATCCCATGCCCGGGCCAACGAGGCCCCCCATGCCCATGGCCGGCAGCCCCTGCCTGCCCCGCATGGGGCCTCCCATCCCGCGGTCGAACGCGTTGATGACTTTGCCACGGGAATCCATGGGGAGGCCAGCAGCTGCCGCGTTCCTCTGCTCAGCGATCTCCTGCTTCGATCGACGAGTTCGCGGCTTCGCATCTTTCGCTCCCTTTGGCCTCCCTGGCTTCTTCGGCACTCCGTCGCCTGAGCGTTTGTGAGGTATGCACGACTGGCCATTGCTCACTAACCGCTGAGTAGCGAGGAAACCGATCTCGCAGTGCCGCCCTTATCCTCCCCAGCCGCTCCTAAAAGAAGCTCAATGACTGTGCATGATCGAGCTCATCAGATCAGGACAACAAACTCTTACGTAGAGCTGCCAGCGCTTGTTTGCTCCTTCTCGTCCTGTGGTACACATGGTAAGCAGGAACAATACCGCAGCCACTGGTTGATGCACCTTGGCTTCGTATCCTTCGCACCCTTGGGTCTCCCCATCTTTCCCTTTGATTTGTCGCCAACTTTCGATCCTTGGTCTGTACCATCCCATGCGCTACCAGGAGGTGCTCCCTGCTTCATCATTGCTGCATTATCCCATTGATCGGGTCCAGGTTGATTGTAGGTAACGTTAGCCATGTCTGGTCTTATGCCAGGTAGCATATCCCTGTGATCAACATATATGTCAGATACATGGACCCTCTTCCGTCACGCCGTGGAATGAAATCTCGAATATAAATGTCCAGAAATCGTAGATACAAACATCCAGCAGGATCGTTCAGGACGCATCATTACTCAGAATCAAAGTTTCAAATGATATTCGAGCATCTAGCTCACGCATCGAAATCATGTAAGTTAGAAATCCACATCATCGAATATCATAAAGGAAGGGATGGTTCAGTTCTCATTCAGTTCTAAACTCTTCGCAACCTTTCTTTCAATCCCAGCGAGTTTGGCACAATGACAGGTACAGAGAAAAGTCTACAGACAAGCTCACGGCATGTATAAGAAGACATTGTTCCATCCTCGTCAACATTTCTCACACCCCTCAAGCTCCCATCTCTTCCCCCATCACTCTTCGTTACTCGTCGATCCCGCATGGGGTCGAAGGATTTGAATCCGGGGGGTAGAGAACCACAGGGTAGGGTATAAGGATGAAAAAGGTGGGGTACCCAGATAAATTGTTGATTTACACGGGTCATTTATAGGAGATATTGCCTCTCGGCTCTGGGGTGGCCATTTCCAATACGACCAGGGTAGTCTTCGATGTCCATGGGTAGTGTACGGGTCCCCTGCGGTACCCATCGCAGAACGTGGTACAAAATTTAAATATATTTATGGATTGTTTTCTTTGTTGGTACTAATGTATATATATATAAATTATATGGTAACAAAGTAATCGACTTGTTGGTAATCATAAAACGAAACTGTCGGTAGTGAATAATTTAAAAACAGGAAAGGTACAAAACTTGAGGAAGATGTGCAGCCCAGTGGTACTATAGGGACTCTGAACTTTTAAACAATTTGTACCAAGATTGGACATCTGTACTGGGTTTGCCCTCCCAGTACGAAATGTCGGTATAAAACTATTGAAAAAAGTTTATAAAGTAATTGGACGTCTTGTATTCGGATTGGTATTTTTAGATTTAAAGATGGCTATACTGTTTCAGAGGAGTTGAACATATTTAAAGATGGATTATTTTCATTTAAAATCGCAATATGTTTATTTGAGGAAGTATATAGATATTTAGAGAAATAGTTTTAAAGATGTAATATATATTTACTTTGATTACAATTACATGTATACTTATATCCGGCTAAAAGGATTTAGATATGCCCCTACCCTTTTCTTTTTTGGGAAGATTTACAAGTACCCCCTACCCCCTCCCGCACCAGGAGTCCGAAGCGCCCATGTATCAACTACGGGTTATCTGAAAGACAATTCAAATCAGCTTAAGTTTATTCGTTAAAGTTTGAATAATTTCCATATAGATGGCAAATATTTCGCACCTTTGAAAGTTATAATCCGTAATCGGTTGGTAGGGGTACCTACCCCCAAATAAAAATCAAAAACCTGCATGGTACTGGTTTAAAACCAGGCAGATTGTCTGGGGAAAAAAGTGTGGGAAGGGGTAGACGAAACAGTGAAGGGGGAAAGCAAGAAGAAGGACGGGTACAACTTCAGTAATTCAGTACCAGAAAGATAATCTTAGGTGGTGGGGTACACTATTTTCATTTTGACTCTAGGAGGGTGGGGTAGCAGTCACATGACTAAAAGATTCAACGATCATCGTTTGAAATATATTTCAGACTACCGTCCACTTTAGACTCCACATTTCATAAGAAGCGAAATTTTATCGACATTATTCTGGATCGTAAATCCATCATTTCAAATGTTGTGAAGCTATTGGCCTGCCAACGAATCATGACACACTACTATTATCCGTTGTAGACCGCCTCACGTTTTAAGGGCAAAAGTTGTATGCTGGTACAGAATGATTAAAAGTGATTTAGCAGAAAACAGATTGAGTACGGATATACGTTTGAGTTTTACAAGCATGTAGGAAATGATGACATAATGTCATAAGATTTGTAGGACAATGGGAGGCAGCAGTACTGATGTAAAACAATTTAGAGCTAAAATGCTCCTTGCGTTGTACCGAATTTCAAAACACATATATGAAGCTGAAGGTCGGATCTGCACCGTTCAAACTTCAAATAGGTTGAAGCGATTTCAAACTTGGTCACAAGTTCAGGACTTTTAATGTTTTTATATGCCTTTTTTTATTGCTCCTAGAAAGTTTTACATGCAGACTTATTGCACACGATATAAACTTTTTGTTGCGTTTAATTGTTTGCCAATAACCTATTAGAGCTTTTTTAAAGAGTTTTACTTCATCGAATAAACCTTTTTTAGACTTGTTTATTGTTCACAATAATCTAATATGAGATCAGCAATATTTATATAGGAAGTATAAATGCCGGGCCCGGACCCGGAGTCATCACTAGTCATCAGGATAGCGCTACACCCCATGTGTCTCTCTGTCGCTCGTCAGCAGCAGAGGGGGTGGGGTCAGGACAACGCCGGGGAGGGTAATCTGCATAAAATAGGGGTGAGGGTCATCGAGTTAAGACTATATGATAGGGTAAAGGTTGGTAGGGTACTTTAAGAGAGGGTAGGGGTAAAGAAGCTTCCATGGATTATAAGGGTGGTACATGTTCACACAAGGGGTGTAATAATGATGTCAGGGGGTAGGGGGTACCGAAATATGGTGAATAGTAGAATGGAATAAAGCGACGGGGTAGTGCTAGAAGGGGGTAGCGCTAGAAGGGGGAAGAGCAGCGAAGAGGAAATGCCGCCTTTCAAGCCGAAGATCGTCGTGAACAAGCCGAAAGAGACGTTCAAGAAGGCGGCAGACATCGGAGTGGTAAGTGAAGAACGAGAGAATACAACAAGATGTTTGCAGAAGTAGCGCCTGTGAAGTCAAGACAATGAGACAAGTCCTCAATGGGCTGTAGTTGAACTGCGATGTTCATCAGAACTATCTATGAGATAAGAGAGTGCTGGATCAGGACATGTTGTTGTTGTGGTTAGGGATGAACCTGAACATGCTAGGATAGAGTGTGGATTTAGAAGCTGTTACCAGGACTATGTTAGCTACATCGAGAGAGTGGAATGGAAATTGCTGATATGCTCACACCAAATATGCTCACACCAAACAACTCTGATTCTTGAACCGTACAAGTTCCGCCTAACCTTTTCTTTGGACAGATGATTCTTGCTGCTAGTGCAATTGGAGAGATCTTATTGTCACTGAAATACAAGGTATTGAGTTCGGTCTTGTTATACTTGTTCCTGACACAGTAGTAGAACGAATCTAGATCCAAACCGTAAAAGTTGCCTCGTCTTGTTATGACTTTTACCTTGTCTCGTTCTGAAAATCTTTTTTCTCCATCTACATAAATTTCTGTCGCCTTGTTTGATCTAGTCGAAGCCGATTGAAGCAGCCTGTTTTATTACACTTACCCGGGGCGATCATTTCCTTTCACGCACATCTTCTGGATACGATGGAGAAGTATCGTTGATAGCGGGTGACTCGAGGTTGACCTGGAGGAGGTTCTTGAGGCCCAGCTGCTCCATGATCATCTGCACGTGATTGCGCACGAGAAACTCCGAGGTGAAGACTTGAACGAGCCCCCTCGAGGTAGCTGCGAGGAGATAGTTGCCACACAGGGATAGCCTGAGCGCCGTCACAGAGCCCAGATCCCCCAGCAGCCGTGGAAGCGTCTGCATTCTCTGCAGGGTGCGAGATAGGAGAGCCACCACCATGCCATTCGACAGCCCCACGAAGAGCACGTTGGCATCGAACGAGAGGACGAACGAGCAGACGCCAGCCACCCTGACCGACCGAGTTGACGTCAAGTTGACGTCAGTCGCGTGCAGAGTCTCGTCCTGCGAGCTGTACATGAAGATGTCGCCCAAGGGGCTCAGCTCCACCAGGTCCAAGGGGTTGAGGGATGGGTGGGCGAAGCGCCTCAGAAACCGACCCTTGGAAAAGGAGTGCAGGGCCACCATGCCCTGGTCCGAGGAGCTCACGATGACGTCGAGGTCGAGGCACGCAGACAGGTGGACGAGGCTGCCCGTGTGTCCGTGCAGAAGAAATCGAGGGCGACTAGGAAACGGCTGCATGCTCCACTCCCGCAGAGCAGCTCCTCGCAGCTCTCCCTTCCCTGCACTGGTTCAGAGACAGATACGTTGCTAGCTCGCTCACCGAGATGCCAAACGCGCACAGTCGTGTCACGACTTCCCGTGATGAGCCAGTGACCAAGAGCATGCGACCACTCTCCTGCTGTGGCCATGCACGTCACGACGTCACGGTGGATCCTCCTGCTTCCTTGCAGGGTTGCAGTCCCTCCTTCCAGCATCCGCCATCGCACTTGCCCATCCAGCATGCCAGGGAAGACGAAGAGGCGGAGGGAGGATCGCTCGATCATCACGTGCCGTTGATGCAAACCAGGAGCCGGAGTTTCTTGCTCGGCAACCCTGAGCCGAGTCGCTGCCGGATCACTTCCTGGGATAGTCAGGAGGAGGCCAGCCAGACCTGACGCCATGCCGATCATGCTCTTGCTCACTCCGGTTGCGAGTTCGCCGAGCCCCTGACGAGGAGCGGCATGGCCTGACTTTCTTGCTGACTCCTGAAACGAGACCTCTAGCTCGGCTGCAGTGAAGGGCTGCCCTTCTTTCGCCATCTTCCAGTCCACGTTCCAACAACGGAACTGCCCGCTCTGCAGGACAGCATAGACCCTGCTGGCAGTAGCAAAAATATTGACGTACCCTCCCTCCTTGGAGCTCGCCTGCCGATGTGGCAACGAGTAGACGCGGATGCCACCTAGAGGTTCCTCGACAGAGAACTTCAACGCTCTTGCAGCGTTCTGACCGAGGTAGGAGGAGGTCAGACCTGCGGGAAAAATCAGCAGACACACGAGCGAATATGGTGCCACCGAGCCCAACGGCGTCAGGCGCTGCTAGTGATGGAGTAATGATGACGTTTGAGTCGAGTGACAGAGTCGGAGTGGCGTCCGTGCTTGCCCTCCTCCTCGAAACGGAATCCTTCACGCTGCCTGCCGGCAAGTGCTCACTTGCTACCGTCCTCTCTCTTTCTGTCGCGCTCGTCTCCTCCGACTTGCTCGGAAGATCAACTTCAGCAGCAGGTCGGTCATCAAATAAGTTGGTCGCCTTGATGGGCATCGACTGAGACCGACTGAAGGCGCGACTTTCTATGCTGCCGCTCGAGTCGGAGAGAAACTCTGACTGCAAGGAGAGACTACCGTTCGCATCCACAGGGGTAGAGTGTGCGCTGCCCCTCTCAGTCTTCATCGTTGTCTCCGACGTCGGCGTGAAGACAGGGCGGCTTCCTCGGAAGAGCGGAGCTCTCTTCGGATGGGGGCTGGAGAACAGCTGGCGGGGGGTCTGACCGAAGTTGGCGATCTGAGAGGTGGTAGCGTTGAGCTTGTGCGGGTCGGCGATGCTGGACATGTCGACCTTGTCCTCGTAGGTGAGGTAGTAGAAGACGTTGGTGGCGTCCACTGCAGGCTGGCCCTGCTGTTTGTAGCCGAAGATCAAGTCAATCCAATGGTGCAGGTGGCTGGAGACGTACTCGCTCTCCAGCGCCTGCCTGTTGATGCTGATGAACTCTGCAGCTGATTCGTTTGCCCAGGGCGGGAGAACAACGTCGTCAATTCGAGAGCCGTTCTGTGTCGATCCCAGTTCGAACTTGTTGCGGTTGAGCAGGAAGTCGGGGAGATAGAAGAACTCTGGAATCAACTCCTTGACGTCGTTGCTCGAGGTCGTGCAGCCCAGCCAGGCATCTGCGACACTCCAGAAAAGACGGTCAGGGTAGTCGAAGTGCCCGCCTTGCAGGTGCAGGGAAGAGGAGGCGTAGGGCTCCAGGCGGACCAGAAACCACAGGACGAAACCGGGGTTGCTGTAATGAGACCCGTAGTGGAACGGGGGAATCTCGTCATCGTGCCAACCCGCGTACCTCTCCTTGAAGTACTCCTCCCGCCCTTGAGTCTGAACTCCGATGGGTCTCGACAGGTCACGAAAGGACTTGGGGTTGGTGAGGTCGACGGAGGCGGAGGAGTAGTCAGCCAAGATCCAGGGCATGACGGGGTACTGTGTGAGGTCGTTGTAGGACCTCCCAGAAAAGTAGTTGAGGTGCATTAGGTACTCGAAGTTGGAGATCTTTCGATTCACCCAGTCGTCCGTCAGCTTCGCACGCGCCACATGCTTGCCGGGGTGGAAGAGGAAGTGGATCTTGAGGGAGGAGCCGCACGTGCTGACCAGCCGCTTGTAGACCTGCGACACGACGCTCTCTGCCTTCTCCCCGGCGGGGGGAGGGAACGAGAGAAGGATGGATCGCCGACCATGGAAGTAGAGCTCGAGGGAGTCGGGCTGGAGCAGGAACCGCCTTCCATGAACCTCACTGAGGTTGTTCAGGTTCCAAACCTTGATCTTAGACATGGTCTCCTTGATGTACACCGGCTCGTTGTACCCGTAGCACCTGTCCTGCACGTCCGATGGGATGAACTTTAGACGATTCCCCTGCAGCAGCAGGATTCCCTTGACAACGCCGCGAGCCGACACAAGGCAGCACTCGAACTTGTCGACCTGGTCCCGAAGTTTCACGTCCAGCACCAGGTCAAGGGAGGACTCATCCATGGCGGTTAAACTCTTGGATCGGGGGGCAGACTTCATCGCGAGCCCATGTTGGAACATGTAGTCCAACGCATGCTCCTGGCGCTCGACGACAGCATCCTTCGTGGCCGGGGCAGAATATGACAACTAGGCAGAGAGAAACGTTAGTATATCCCAGCACGAGGAAACAGATCGCGCAGAGATGAAAGCAATCATCGTTCGATAACAAGAAACAACAATCTCACCTGACTCTCGTCGAGATTCAAGTACAGGAGGCCCCATGACGACTGCTTCACCCTCCTGCGCAACCCCAACCCCCCACACTCCACCGTGTCGTGCTTCTGGTACCGCCCGAACACTGAAACGTCCTCCCCAAAAAGCCCCCGCCTGTCGCTGAAGCTTAGCCACAGGGTGAAGTCGGAGCAGTTCTCCTTGAGGATAGTCTTCCACTTGGTCCGTTGAGAGTTGAGTCGGAACCTCAGCTGGTTCTCGATCTTGAGCCTCCTCGTCGACTCCGCCAGCGCAAGGGTCTCGGTCCTCTTCGACGCCTCCGTCCGCAAGGCTGCCATGTCCTCCGTCTCCCTCGCTCCCCGAGCCCTCAGCCTCGACTGGCCCCCGAACTCGAGGCCCTCGGAGTATCGCAGCAGCTCGTCCTCAAAGTCTAGCAAGATCTTACGAGCGACGTCATTAGTGGGGTCTGACATCATGTAGAAGTCCAGCTTCGACGTCCTGCCCGTGAAGAGTTTCAACACGTTGCTCCACGTCACCGATCGGTCGCTCTGCTCCACCATGTCCATCACCAGCCTCTTGCTCTCCATCAAAATCCCTCGCAGCTCTCCGCGATCGCCCGCCTCGTACTCGGTCTCGAACAGCAGCGCCCTCTGCACACGCCCCCATCACTTCCATCCCTCCACACCAGCCACGTCACCTCAAGCTTTTCGAATCGCTGGACCGTCAGAGCAGCACGAGGGAGAGCGAGGGGGTCGACTTCAATCCGCCCGATGCCCTGGGAGCTGGTCAGGGAGGAGGCAGACGAGGAGTTAGCACAAGCAGGCAGACCTGAAAGACCAACCGCTGACAGACAGAGCGAAACTCGTCCACTCCCAGCTGATCGCTGAGCGACGCCATCAACATGCTCCAAGCCGAGTGAGTCCAAGGGAAGACAGACATCTTTCCCTTGCTATCCAGCACAAGCTCTCGCCCGAAGGTGGTGGCAGGCAACTTCGTGCCATCAAGCCCGAGCCTTATGCAGAAGGCATTCAATGATTCCGACAACAACTTGAGCAGAGACGCATGAGCAAAGCAGTCTGTGCTGTCTTGCAAGTGCTCCCACACAAGTCTTGTTGGTGTTTGGACAGATGACATCATTCCGTACGCTGATCGAAACGAGAGCTCAGAATATGTCAAACTTGCAAGAATTCCCCCGAAGTTTTCACGCAAGGTGAGGGTCGAGACTGGGGCTTCTCGTTCTGGGATAGTCATGTTTGAGTCCCACTTCTCAACCTGTGATATGACATCCTGCAGGACGAGGCAGGCATGTTTGAACAGCAACGTCATCAAGTCTCGCTCCGACGTGTTGCGTGCTGATTCAGATGCAGCGATCTTACCTGACGCGAACACGTGCTCGACTAGCTCTGAAGTCTTCCAGGCAGCAAGCACATTGACGAAGGACCTCCATCCTTCCGCCTGGAATATCCTGTCGCTGATCAGCCTGGAGATCATCTTGGTCGTGAGCCACATGAGGGCGTCGAGCTCTTCGATCGGCGACAGCTCCTGGTCCAGCGACATCCGCTCGACCTCAGCAGGCGTCGCTGCCCACGAGCCCCTCAGCACGAGAGTCGGGTTTTGATGCCACGTCACGACTGACGGCAACCCCGTCCACCTGGTCGCCTTGTGGAGCCGGGGTGGCCTGACCAGGTTGACGATTTTCTGCTCCCAATCCGGGACAGAGAGGAAGTTGCTCCTCGTCTGGTGGGAGCGGTTGACCACGAGGACGAGCTCACTGACAGCCTTGGAGAATCAAAGTGAGCAGAGAGAGAAAAGAACAGCCCCCAGCACACCTGCTGCCGCAAGGTAGAGTTGCAGACCTCCAGGATCTCCAGCATCACCTGCAGGCAATGAGGAGAAGGGGAGGAGCCATCAGGGGATGTACTTGTATCATCTCAGTCCTCAGGATGCAGTGCTCGCTGTCGATGTAGAGGGACATCGGGGACTGGATGCAGTCCAGCCCCTCTAGGATCGACGAGTCGAGGATGCCGGCGTTGAAAACCCCCTGAGGAGAGACGACTTCACGTGCAAGGAGACAGGAGTGGGCCGTACCTCTGACAGCAGCCTCCTCGTGAACAAGCAATCGTCTACGGACAGGTCCAGGATGAAACCGTAGACGAGGGTATGCTGCCAGGCAGATGCGTGCTGCGCCTCGTGGTGTTCCTCGACCTGGAGGGCCTTCATGCAGGACCGGACGTTGTGAATCAGCAGAGATGACCCTCCTTGCGAGAAGAACTTGTGCTTCTCTGAAGGTTTGAGAAGAGCATAGTAGATCACAATGTTCGCCAGAGAAAACCAGATCGTCCTGGGATGCATCACCAGCTCCAGCAGGATGCACCTCCAGTCAGGAGAGTTGACAAGCAGCCCGTTGCCATTGCCCGAGATGTCAAGCTCGAAGATGCGGTTGCAGAGATGCAGCGAGTGAGTGAGGCAGAAGCAACGATAGCTGGGGTCTGCAGACAAGTCTTACACCACAAGCACATGCAGCGCCGCATGTGATGGTCAACCTGCCCGTTGGGCGAGAGTGGAGGATAGGAAGGTCCAAAACTCTTGGTCAGCCCTTGCCGCCTCCACGTAGTCACTCGATTCATCTTCTTGCCCCAGCAGCTGAGAAATACTCAAACGGGAGCCCAAGGGAAGCAGCAAGTACCTTGTCGAGTGCCTCGAACATGGTCTCACGCAAAGACGCTTCCTCGCCATTGGGGGCGTCCTGACGGAAACCATTGATGATCGAGATCGTGTGGGAGTTTGACTCGGGAGTCCACAGAAGGTCCATCATGAAATCAAAGAGAGCTACGACAGTCAAGTTATGACGCACAAGATGCTTTTGATAAGCCCTTCCATACCATGATACCCGAGTATTTTGAAGAACAAGGAGTTGTTCAGAGCAGCAGCATTGCGGATTTCCTTGATCACGAGCTCGACGATTTCCACGTTTCTTGTAATGAACCAAGTCATTCATCATCGCAAAAATGCTGAGATGTAAGCTACATCACCTTCCGGCCCATAGCTCGACATGGAGCAACCAGGCCAAGACATTCTCCAGCTCCTTCAACTCAGCTCGCCCCTTGTCTGAATCAAAATACTTCCTCTCCAGGTTTGTCTCAGGCCATTCAAAGCTATCGTACGCGCTCATCCTCACTACCAATGAGACGGCCGAGAATATCTCCTGTTCACCGCAGTCAGCAAAAGAGGCAGAACATCTTTGAATGCAGCAGACCGGTGTCAGGTGAGAAGAAGGGATTCGGAAAAAGATGGATTCAACTGTCGTCATGAGCTTCGCTATCCATGGGATTTCACCTTCATTCTCAGTCTGGTCAAACACGAGGTTTTTCCCTGAGTAACCATCCGGCGCCAACATTCCATTTCCTCTTAGGAAAACATCGTGACATATGAAAGATCGCATCAATAGTAGGAAGCTCAAGAAAATCTCTTCGCTGTCGCACAAGCTCTTCCTCCCCGAGACCTCATCTCCCTGGTCCTCCCTTTGTGTTGGCACCGTAAAGCATGCTGCGAGCCAAGGAAGGAACATCGCTTGTTCACAAACTCAGTGAATTCACCGAGGGCACGAAACTCACGACTACCTGGTCCACCGAGACACTCCAACGATTCTGCGAAGTTTGGCTGTCCTCCAAGCTTTAAGGTTCCGATCATCAAGGCCGTCGGATTTCCTGAGCTGAGACAGAGCTGAGAACTAGGAAACGATCTTCCATCAACTGTGTGGCAGCAGGCATGTAAGATCAAGAGCGCGGGGTGCAGCTCAATGTACCGAGGGGTATGTGCTTGTTCAGATGGCTCGGATAGGCTGAGAATGACGCGCAGGCGTCGAGCAATTCATCGCTGCCTGTTGTCTGCTGAAGCTTCAAGTCAGCAAGCGCAGCAGGTCCGAGCTCGCAGCAGCAACCGCATCGCCTAGCTGACTTTGGACCTCCGCCTCACTCAAACAGGTGGGGAAGAATTTAAAGGTCCCCATGAGACCCTTGAAGAAGGAGAGAGGCAAAACCGACTTGGACCATCTCACGGTTGTCGGGATGTTGAGCGTGTCTGTCGTGGGACATCCCGCATACAAGCGGAACAATCCTTGAAAGCGCAGGTGAGGAGTTGCGACCAGCATTCTCCATTCACCTTCTTGCTTCGGCATCGGGATGGAATGCGAATATCGCCGATTGTCAATCCAGATCTCGACTTCAGACTTTGACAAGAACGAGCTGCTTTTATGGTTGACAGCAAGCTTGAACCTATAGATTCAAAAGGATTAAAATCGCAAGACATTCTGCAATTTCACAATAGAATGTTACCATCGCTTTTGCGGAATCTGAACACGGAACTCATGGAAAACTTTGTGTGAATCGATGAATACATTGAAGATGAATCCGTGCTGTCACACAAAAGAATCAGATCCACAAACATGACATCATGTGTCAGGACCTCGCAGATGCAAACATCCATGACCATCTTCTCGTTCGTTTCGTCAACTTGATCTGTCTCCGTGATGCTGAACAAGAAAAACGCAACGTCGGTGGACGCATTGTTCACCCACAAGGATGTCGTTATCGCGTAGCCTTGTTTCCCCCATAGCCTGCAATGACGGAGCAAACTTGAGAAGTGCATGTAGGGCAGCCACATAGGCAACTCTCACTTCTCTGCGCTTCCAAGGTAAAGCCCTCCATGTGCTCCATCAAAGAAAAAGAATCTCGGATGGGCCTGCTAGTGCCCAGCCGAGGACATGTCAGAGCAAGGGTTCACCAGACACTGAGCCTCTTCACCTCAGCAGCGGCCCTGCTGTGCATCTTTGAGTCCTTGAAAGCATTCGGACTCAACAGCCCGGGGGACTGGCCTTCACCCAAACTCCCTTGCACCATCGCGCACATGCCCTGCACGAGTTTGCCAGCGTTGGGCTGCCACTCACCAGCCACGAACATGGACCTTGGAAGATCTCAACAGAAATCAGACTTGAGGGGTGGATTACCTAAGGATGCTCTCCAGGTTTGCTCTACCTAATCCAACATTGGAAACAACCAGTACCAAGACTTGAATCAACTCCTTGGTGATCTCAGTGACACGACTATGCTGTATTCCTTTCAAGAGAAGGTCCCAAGCAGTTTGTTCCCCAACTTCGTTCTCGGATGTCGTGAAGAAATAGCAGCAGATGACCAGGTCGTTTCGGACAAGCTCCTTGAGATTTCTAGCAAGCCTCAGTCTCTTCTCTTTCACATCTCTAAGCTGATACGCATCACTCGCCGCCTCCTCCTCACAGGTACGCCAGATGGCCACAATGACCTCCTTCAATTTTTCTCCTTCAAAATTTCCTCCTTCAAAGTCAGAGCTGAAAGAAACGTCTCAACGATGGAGCACAAGAATGCAAAACAGCAAGACCTCAGTTCAACCTTTGTCTTTCGCCTGATCGGAGTGTTTTCAAAGGCAGGTTCTTCACGTGAGTTCAAGCTTCTTGCTTCAAGGAGAAGATCTCTTGCTTGGATCGGCAATGGGGCAGCTGCAGGGTCCAATGCCGAAGGGCATCGAGCAGCGTATGCTGGTTTCTTTGGCATTTCGGTGAAAATCAACACGGATACCTCGACTTCTTTCTCATCTTTCACATCACACCATCCAACCTCTTGTTGCGATCGCCGCCATCAACAGCGACATCGTCCTCAGCATCAGAAATGTCGGTGTGGGCATCTTCAGGCTACGTTACACATCTTCACGACATTGAATGTCTCGCTTCAAACCTGTCATCGCTCTGTCAATTCTCGCATCACAATTTCACTCCATCACTATAACATATCACAAGCCTTCTCCTCTTAGCTTCATCGCGTTCTAGCAATAGGTAAAGATCTGTATCGAGTTCAACCTCCCAAACCTCCTCTGCATTCCGCCCGCCCGCTAGCCTTCTGCCTTTCTCGCATATCTCACACTCGCTTGCTCGCACTCACCCTCCTCAGCTGGCGTACTGCACTTCATCTCCCTCTCCCCCTCCCTCCCCCTCCCCTTCTCCTCTATCTGCCATTCTCTCTTCATCTTCCATCAGGCCGGATCTACAGCATGTCCAAGTTTGTGTTATCCCTCATACCGACCCCCTACCCCACCCCCTAGATATCACCTGTTTCACTCTCACACTACCCCCGGAAATGCCGTCTACAGACACCCCACTGTTTAGAGCACTGGAAGTGGAAGAGGGGAGGGGTGGGCGGCATTGGGTCAGTTGGGCTACCAGTAGGCGGCTGCCCAGGGGACGCTTTCATGTCGGAGGCAGGAGGGTGGGAAGAGAGAGGAGAGGAGAGGAGAGGAGCGAGGAGAGAGGAGAACTATGTGGATAGTTCAGCGCAAGCAGACACAAGTTCCAAACTCATGTGTCCCCACAGCATCGGTGTCTGGAAGGAGAGATACGTAAGCTTGTTCTGTTTCTTGCAGGCCATGCTCTGACTGCTTGTTGACCTCCTTTTGGATGCCTGTCATGATCTGCTACAGTTCTCGCCTTTGACATCATCCTTCGTTGATACAAAAAGTTCTCGTATTGTTCGTGGATCAGGTTTCCGATACGTCTCACCGATTCGAGACAAAGAAGATATCAAAAGCTGCTTGGGTTCGCCTGGAAATTCTGATTTGTCCAGCATCCATACGTCTGCTATCAATCTTTCTCTCCCACGTCACTTTGATAAAACAACTGCAGGTCCACAACTTTCCGTCTTGCCAAGGCTTCGCACAACCGAAACCCCCCGATGAGGGTCAGACGGTTGAGAGCTGAGGGCGTCTGGTCGACTCTCGCGCGCTCGCAGCTCTTCGGGCCTCTGCTTTTCGGCAGCAGGTAGGAGCAAGGGGAACTCACTTCATCTTGGTTGTGCTGACGAGCCACCAGACATGTTGGGACTGCCACACACACACTTGACTGCTCCAAACTGCAAGAATGGGAGACTTTTGAACTACGTTGATCCTTGCTGAGCAAGCTCGTCTCTTTGTGAAGCTCTTTGAAAGGTCTCGAAGACAAATATGGACATTCCATCACTGGGTTGGATGGGAAGAAAGCTTCCCTAAAGATTGAGACCAAGTTTCACCAAGACAAGATCTCTTTGAAGGTATTGAGAGCAAATCATTTACCTAAGATGGATCGTGTCATACTCTGCGACTCTCAGGTTTATGCCCTATGACCTTCGACGAGATCTTTGACTTGGGGCTGGCAAGGTGATGATCACAGTCGATGATCAAGAATTCTTCACGTCAACCGTAGCGACAGTGAAATACACTGAACATTCATTTTGATGTTTCAGCGCAGATCAGAAACAACGTTGACCCAGAATACAACTTGCGAATCGAGCTTCCGATGTAGATTTTTGACAACACAGGGCGTGTTCACTAAGCATTGACGTAGACAATTGCATCGGCATAGATTATCATTTGCTGTTTTGCACATGGATTCCTCTGAGTTCTTCACGGATCTAGTCAAGAACACAACGCTGGTCTCCTTGAATGATACGCGAGGTATCGACTGATAACCGCTTTGACTCCAGCAAGTGGCTGAACAAGGGACTATCATGCATTTTGATGATGAGAAGTGTTCCAAAGTTATGATTTTGAAGGAAGGAACTGTCGGGGTGAATAGTGATGACCTTACGAATATCTTCACTGAAATTTTGAGAGGTATATGAAAGAAAAACAACAGCCGACTGCAAATTCATCAGTAGCAAGATAGACAAGACGACGTTTCAACAGAATTTTGTTGAGATTGCACGCACTAACGATGAAGGGGCATGTTTTGCTGAGGGCTCTGTGCTAACTGGAAGATGCTTCCCGCTCTGTGTAGTGGCATTGACAACTGTCAAAGTCCTGTGCGTCAGAGCTGATGACGTTTCAGCAATGCTGGTATATGCAAAAAGCTCCTTCTCTGCTATATTGACATCCGATGCTTCAGAAAAAGCAAAACGACCTGTGTGAACAGTTTTCCGTTATCATACACAGTTTTCAAGAAATGAGCGTTGAGAGAGAAACAGAAAACAAATTTGATCTCACTGTGGAGGTCCATGGAATGCAAAGCATAACGGACAAGAAGCTCACCGACTACAGAACGTCTGATCCTACCTGCGAGGTTCAGGTGTTCAATACTGTATATACAACCAAATCTCTTCGCCACCTGCTCCCGGATGGAACTTTGCCGACATGGAACGAAACTTTTGCATTTGAGGACATGAATTCCAAAAATGGCTCTCTTATCATCAGAGTTTTGAACAAGTTTGATGGAAAGACAGAACCCGTGTTATTAGGAAGTTTGAGGTTTTCGTTGTCAGCTATTCTCCAAAGCAGACAAATCAAAGGAAAATTCACACTGTCTGAGGCGAGTCAAATACACTATGCGGAGGACCATCAGAAGGAATTCATCAGTCCTTTCAAAGAAAATAGCTTAAAAGAAATCAAACGATCAGCAAATTATCGAAAAAATGATTTAAACAATGTGGCTTCCAATGAAACGGCAGGCAATTCACATTGGCCAAGGATTCAGAAACGAAAAGAAGACGTTGATGACGCCGGAGCGAATAAATTGAAAAGCAATACAAGGAATGCATATGATGAGGACAGTGCTCTTCAAGCGAGTCTGTCATCTTGCAACGTGATTTCTCTGTGCATCACTGCGCTCGGTCAATTTTATCAAGGGGAAAGAGAGTTCGTCGAGCTTATTCGACGGTTGGGGTATTTGTCGCACCTTGAAGACTTGAAGAACGCTGGGATCAGGAGAATAGACGATCTTCTTCGCGGGTTTGACGATACTGAATTGATTGCTTTGTTTCCAGAAATGAAGAAGTCTAAAAGAAGGTGAAGTCAAGCTTGCGAGTCCTTGGATGACCCTTTTTAGGTTATTTCTTGCTCGGTTACAAATCTTACGAGGCAACAAGTTTCTGGATCATGCCACTAAAGAGCTCGCACAGATGGTGTGTGGTCCTTACTGCATCTGAGTCTGAAATTCACGTGATTTTAGATACGCGTTCATCACGGCATCCCCAAAGCCAAAGACGGTCCATTCCTTGAAAGCAAGCAGAATGCTTGGCTACGAAGAAAAGCTATGAACCAATGACTCTAGAAAGAGACGTTCTACAATTCCATTTTCGAGCTGTTGATTGTATAGTACCTTCATTCAGATTTATTCTCTAACTTTACATTAGTCACATTTCACACAATACTATTCTACACCGAAAAAAAACGAGTCAAAATTCAACACAACTATGGAATCAAAGCAATCATAATTAACAACAATATTCACATGAAGCCTGAAATGGAGAAAGGTGCTTCGTATGGAGTGATCTGGCTGGAAGAAAACAGCGCAGTGTGCTTTAGGTATCCGCCTTTCGACAAACTGTGGCTTTGAATCTTCGTAGATCTTCGAGTTTGTACATGACAGTGTAATTTGTGATTCCCGCAGAATTTCGAAGGGCCACCAGGTTGACCATAAGATGCTTGAGTAGTGCAGATGCTTCCATCGCTGGACACAAACTCACAATGCTTGTGCACTAGGTCCCTCTCGTCATGCTCCCTGTGGGCGCGACAGTGCCTCGCCTTGCCTCCCAGCAGCCCGTACACTGCTCTTCTAGAACATCCAGTGATGAACTCACATCTGCCAATAGAGTCAGGGAACACAAGAGCGCATCTGAACCAACCTCTTCTCTGACAAGTTCATGTCACCGCTCTTGGCATGCCTCGCGCACCACAATCTCACACGGTCGATCGGATTTCCCCACAAGGCTTGCTTCATACAACCACCCTCATGCTGACACTTGAAGTGTCGAAGATTCAGATGATGCGGAAGCTTATGTCGCTTGCAGTAAAGGGCTTTTTGCATGGCTGGATCAATGGCTGATATATCACCGTAGGTAGGAGTACGACTGCATCCCGGAGAGGCACAATGAACGGAGCTCACGCTTTTGCCGCTCTTCTTGGGAACTTTCTTACGATTTTCCGACAAGCGCTTCTGGTTCTTTTCGCAATTTTCTTCGATTTTCTTGGAACTTTGCGTGGACGAGTGGAGCCGGCAAACCATGAGCTTCGTAACTTGGGTTGCGTCATGCTCAGGGAATTGCACGAAAGAAGATATCAAACCACATCGAGAACCGTCGGGATACACGTGCTGACATTGAGGTAGAAGCCTTGCACTTCTTCTTTTTGCACGCGTGTTATATACCACTGATCGGTCAAAGTCCACGTACATGCCCGAAACGTGCAGAAATCGATTTGCGGTCTGATTGGCAACAGACCGACACTGATTGGAGATTGCAGACCTGAAAGTCTCGCACCACCTATATACAATATCGTCTGTTGGCAGCTCCCCATGGCGCTTACGGTAAAGCTCTATGAGCTGATCAAGAAGTTCTTTGTCGTGATCGACAAGGTCCGTTTGGGTGCTCCCCTGCTCAATGGTGTACTCAGAGTTCCTCTGCATATTTGCTGGTTTGACGGCATCCGACGTGCAGGAAGATTCTGCCCTATCAGAGTTCCATGATGAGGTCAAGAACGATGCCTGGATGTCTTCGTTGGATTGTAGACCTCCATCTGCAAAGGGTGCGAACCCAACGCGGTAGGGGTTTACCTCCTGTGACCATCTGAGATCCAAGTCGTTTTCAGGAGAGCACAGTCTGTTGATGCTGAAGGATTCTTCCGACGTCACTCTCTCCTCCATCCTCTCTTCCACAAACTGCTCAACTCCAGATGAGAACTCAGGCGATGCAGTGCTGTTAGCTCGACTGTGAGATGCACCTGAGCCACGGGTCCATGTCAAGAGGAAAAGCAGAGGAACGAGGGCCCGAAGCTTCCTGCTCCTCGTCATTGTCACTTCTTCGCAAGCTGCTCTCCTCTCGCGTCCTCTTCTGCACGCTCTGTCACCTGATTCCTGCCTCACCCGCGCGCCATTTTGCCGTAACCTCGCCTTGTTGACACGATCTGCTTATCAACAATATTTAGTCAATATCTGGAAACCGCTAAGCACCGGGTACAAAAGCTTGATTGTTTCAATTATTTCAAGGGGTGGTGTGCTCATTTCGTCCCTTTTTTTTCTTTCGTTGCTAAAGGGCACAAGGGAAGGAATTTGAATTCGCTGGTGCGGTATGAGCACGGAAACATCAAGGAACGCATCGCAAAATTTACAAGGCCTCCCCTCTCGCAGCCGGGAGGAGCAGGAGGAGCAGGAGGAGCAGGAGGAGCAGGAGGAGCAGGAGGAGCAGGAGAAGGAAGTTATGCATAGAGATCGTAGACAAGCCTATTGAAACTATGCTTCCATGAATCTCTACAAGGTCAGACACAGCTATTATATCTACTTCATCGCTCTTGTCGTTGCAAACGTGCATTCCTTCACACGAGCTTCTTCTGCCTTTATCGTCACCAACACGAATAGCCTGCGGAACATGAAGTTTTCAAAGAGAGATTTGAGCCATCAATCGAGGATATTGCGAACCATGATGCCTGGCGTAAGAAGGCTTCGTTGCTCAAGGGATCCCAGCGGGCAAAAGAATCTTCGCCTCGTGACGTGGAATGTGAACTCAGTCAGGCAACGATTACCTCTTATTGAAAGGTTGAGCATGTACTTGTGACACGCCAGTTTGAATTCGAATTTGCGCAGATATATACAAGAGTACAGCCCCGATGTGCTTGCGCTTCAAGAGATTAAGTGCCAGCAGAACGATTTCCCGGCTGAGACTTTCTCGAAGCTCGGTTATCACCACGTCCACTTGGGTCAGAAGTCATACAATGGTGTTGCAACACTGTCCAAGCATCCCATGACGAATGTCGAGTTTGGTCTGAAGGGGCCCGAAGATGACGAGCACGACCCGCAAGCGAGATACGTCCAGTGCAGTGTGCAAGGTATCGCCATCTGCAATCTCTACCATCCGAATGGCAACCCTGTTGGGAGCGAGAAGTTTGACTACAGATTGAGATGGAGCAAGCTTCTCTACGGCCGCGTGAAGAGCTTGACGCAGTCAGACATGCCGTTGGTCTTGATGGGGGATTTCAACACCGTCCCTCGAGGTGTGTTAACCTCTTCGACAGGATTTTGAGCTCAGTATTGCTGAAGATCTGATCAGATGAAGACTGTTATGATATCATAGATCTGTCCAGCGATGCTGTCGTGCATCCGCATTGTCGGTCGCAGTATCGATCCCTCGTTTACCAGGTCAGGCTCAGAGACATCGTTGCGTTATGTGCATTGTGCAATGACCTTGCTGCACAGGGACTGTATGATGCCTTGCAGATCAAACCAAACAAGGAGAAGCAATATTCCTATTGGGACTATCGGGCAGGGTCTTGGGAGAAGGTCTCCACCTACCTCCCCATTTACTTGCAAGTGATTTCCTCCAATAGAATAAGGGCATGAGAATTGATCACATCCTGCTATCGCCGCACCTGGCGGATCGTTTCGTGCAAGGGTAACGATCATTGTGTAATCTTCCGCTCACTTGGCTCTCAGAGGGGTGCACAAGGAGGTTAGAGGTTGGCAGGGTCCCTCGGATCACGCTCCTGTGTGGGCAGATATACGTAGGAGCGATGCAATGAGCGATTGATAAGATGTTTCTTTACAAAAACTTATGCGATCCGCTTCTCTCGTTCCATCACCTAGATAGCAACTATGTCAAGGTTGCTCAGCATTGATGTCAGTCCAACCTGTGGCGTGAATTTGACCAAGATTGTCGTTCGTGTGTCGGCACCGACGGGAACAGTATGAGCTGTCACGCGTGCAGGGAAATCAGCTGCAGCACAACGGCAGTGAGATTTGGGAAGGGCACGGAAGGAGCAACCAGAATCAAGAATCCCCTGAACAATCCCCGCTACGAACGCCGCACAATTCAGATGCCCGTATTCTGAGGGAAATGACCGACAGCTGGAAAAACATTCGTATGCACACACACCTTTGGGGACGGATATGTATGTGTTGACAAGAGGATCCTTCTCGTGTATCATATCTAAGGGCCCAGAAACATGCCCACAAACATTGATATCAGTCCCACCGCACAAAGGCATAATTCAAAAGGGTTTCACATTCGTCTTCTTTGTCCGTCACTCTCTCCAGCGAATCTGCGACTTTGCCGAACATGACCTGGATGAGAGAATCACGACTGGAGTGAACGATTGCAAGATGTTCTCACCTTCCAGATCGTGTCTTTGATGTAACTCAAAATCCCAACAATCTGCCAAAGTCGTTGATGAAGAGTGAAATTAGGGGTCAGCTGCACACCTTTATCTCTCTCTTGAATCCTGCTTTCTCCCGAAGCGAGCTCAATTCTAGCATTCGTACCCCCACATTATGTCCTATCTCGGCGAGCTGTGTGCATGTGATGTTCAGAGATGACTGAACCTCCAACATCTCTTGACCATCTTCTCTAGTTCTTGTGTCGTGTTGACGCGGTTTTGACAATACTGAACTATTTCGGAGAACAAGAAGCAGAAGGAGCTGAGGCTCACCTGATCGATATACAAGAGTGATTAAGATGCATCAAGACAGATCAACGAAGTTATCTCACTTCTGCCTTCCCCCTCGGCATCGGACGGTCTACGATGGTCTTGTTCGCCTTCGATGGTGCATTGCCGGACGACATTCTCTATCAAGTCTGCGGTGTGTTGATGGTGAACCGAGGTTGAAGCCCTAGCAAACACGTTTCAGCCTTGTTCAGGTTCACACGGCTGATCCTGGAGGGGACAACCAAGGAGGGTTCACAGTCTACAACAATTTTAGCTCATCCCGGTACAAGCTCCTGGGCGGACCCGTGCCCGTAGGTTTAGATAGTACCAAGCAGGACAATTGCGTACTACATTTTGGTATTAAGTAATTCACAGAGTACATCCTCCATTTACAATAATTATTGCAATGCCCAGACTCAGTTTCTCTCTCGAGTCCGACGGCGAGTCTCCGAGTCTTTCCGGGCCCGGCACGCCCGGCCGTCCGAGGCTCTGCCAGTAGTCTCTCAGCCGAGTCTGTCGATGTCAGAGATACACGACCGTGAGAGATCCCTCGCATGGAGAAACGCTGAACCAACTGCTACATCTTCTTTACTCAAAGTTAAGTTAAAAAACATCCGAGCGCCGACCTCGGCCATGGAACTTCCGTGAACTGACTCTAGCCTAGTAGGGGAGTTTGTGGTTTGAAATATCGTGAGATAATAAATTTGACAAAAAAACGAAGGAAAGTATTGAACCAGCTTTCGAATCCCATAAACTTCCCATAGCTCTATTGGGACCAGATCATGCCATAGTCGTTTTTGATTTCTTCCCCCAACGCGCTTTCTCTCGTCCATGGCCAACGTGGACAAAGAGGTCAAGAAGAAGGTCGCCATGCCTCAGGGCAAGGCCAAGCCTCTCCTTCCTATTCGTTGCCCCTACCCTTCACATGATAAGGCAACCGGACTGCCGTTGCGCTTCGGTATCAGCCATGACAAAGACGCAGAACTGCAGAAACGTCTCATCCAGAACATGCGCCTCAGTGACATTGATAAGGTTGTAGAGGATGCAAGTGCCGTAGATGTCAAGCCAGAAAAGAAGAGTGCGAGAGGAAAGAATGGCGACGATGCCCACGACATGTCCCTTGTCAGCGCTATGGCATCACGTCTGAGACATGCGGAGAAGGCTGCTGCAGAGCTGAGAGAGTTGCTCAAAGGCAAGGACTCGGAGATCGCTGAGCTCAAATCAGCGCTGGCAGCAAAAGATGCATCGACGAACGAAAAGAATGAGTATGCTGACCCCAACTTCGGTCGTTGTAAAAGCACTCCAGATCTATCTGCAATGAGGGAGCAGAACAACAAACTGAGGGAACTTCTTAAAAGAGCAGACCATGAAAATAAGACTCTGATCAAGGAAAATACAGAGATGAAGCAGTTTTTGAGAGACTATGGAATGGAGTGGGTTGGAGACAGTGTTAGCTCTGGCAAGAGCTCTGCCAACCCGCAACCGCTGCAAATGAATGAAGGGATGTGGAACCAAGAAGTCGCACAAGGAAAGGAAGTTTCAGAACAAGACGGCAACGACCTGAGTGATAGAAGTGGCCCTGAGGCTTTGGAAACTCCTTTTGATCCAGCACAGATATTGACTAGTGTCAAGCAATTGAATTTCATTGCTGGAGAGGGAGAGAAAGAAGTGGTAGCACATAACGGAATAAGGAAGCTGAAAGAGAAGGCGCAGGTAAAGTCTGCTCTCAGGAGATGCCATCTCCCAACATGTGTCTAATCTAATGCAAATATTCCGTGCTTTGTAGGTGAGCTATACATTTTATCAAGATGGGATCTTTGCTAGAGGTGGCCCACTTCGACCGTACAAACTCAAAGAATCGAAGCTCCTGGTGAAAGATTTGATGGATGGGTACTTTCCATGGGAACTAAAGGAGGAGTATCCTGATGGAGTTCCAATCAAAGTTGAATTTCGACTTAAAGAAAAGTACAGTCGCGATGCGGCAAGCAACTTCCAAGCGTTTAAAGGTGAAGGGCATTCTGTTGGTTCGAGAGGTGCAGCACCAGGATCCGCAGCGGCTGTTTCAAATGCTTCACGAAAAGAAATTTGGAATCCTACTGCAGCTGGCAACAGCAAAGCTCCAGACATTCTAAGGAATCTACCGAATTCTGTTATTGGCCCTGGTGGCAACATTATTAATATCAAGGTTGCTTTTCCCTGCGTCCTGCACTTAGATGTGCACCTCCACTGATTTCGTTGTTTCATGGCAGGAGGATATAGAAAAGAGGATTTATCCAGTTAGAGAACGGTCCAAAGAGGACGCGGAAGTCTTTCCAATACCATCTAAGTATGAAAGGAGCGAAAAAGAAAGGACAATCGTCAGAGTGAAGAAGATGGTAATGTCTGTGCGACTTGTAGCTCAAGTGTGAACAAGTGTATGTGCGTCTGTGTGATATGAAGGCAGGCAGACAGACAGACAGACAGACAGACAGGAATTGAGAGATTGACAGAGAGCAATGTAGATGCAGGGGGAAGAGGGGAGAAACAAAGTTTCAATGAGTGACGTTTTATGCAGGACACGAATGTGACTTATGAAGTTGTGTTAGCGCACAGTTCTACGATAGCAGAGCTCAAAACACTCTTGAAAAGCCACACGTGAGTATTGAAATGTGCCTTGTAGGATTATGAACGCACTGACATTTTGATCACAGATGTATTGATGGAATGATTCTTAGGACGCATTTTCCAGCACGAGAGTACAGCGATGAACAAACAATGATATCTGCTAATCTTGTACCAAATGCACTGCTCTTCATCACGTATGTTAAAGCGTGAAAGCATGAAGGGTCTTTAGAATGTTTGTATTGAATGAATGTGTTTAGATCACCCAGACAGAATGTGATTAGCCAATGTTTTAGCTTGAAACTTGTCTTTCCAACAGTGCGATGGACGTTTGGACGTATCTCATATTCATTCCTGCAAACACAATCTAGAGTGCTTACATTCTTTAATTGGATAGCAGATATCAGCCAGGATAACCTAGTTTCTAGTGTTGTGGAAGCGCAATGGGACGGATGACCCTACAGAAGTAGTTGTGTAAATGCAAGGAGTTACGTAGTTGTGTAGATTCAAGAAGTTACGGCCATCTTGTCATTATTTCTCTCGTTTTTTCAAACCAACGACACATAAAACTTCAAGATGCAAACTTACCAAAACCAATCTTTCAATCTATTACATGACAAAGAATCGTGCGGGGAAACTTGAAAACTTGAATTTCGAGAACATAACCAATACTATGGTTTTTAAAGAGCAATCTACAGCCCTTGGAAAAATATTCCCACTTCAAAATACATGTCAACCAAAGGACAGATCAGAGAATCATTTTCGACATCTCATACATTTCCTAAAACATCTACCGCTACAGATGAGCCAGGTCTGCTGACGGCAGGTATAGGAAGCAACATGAGGAATGGAGTGAGAGTGATCAGCATCTGATACAGGCAACAAGACAAACACACATGCGTCTTCGAGCTCATCTCTTTCACCATCATCGTCGCATACAGACTTCTAGATCCAGGGCAACTTGCAGCTTAGAGGGTCCCACCCCTTTCCCCTTCACCCCCACCCCCTCTGTCTACTATTGTCCCTACTACATATTTCCGGTCCTTACCACCCCCGTACCCTAATAACGTTCCGCTAGCCCTTGGCTAGGCCCGGCGAGTCACTACTGCTCCATGGCGTCAACTTCCAGGACGGAGGACGATCCGCTCAGCAGACTTGACACGCTGGTGATGCCCCTTCCTCGCGTCCTACTGGCTGTGCCAGCCTCCCAATGCAATTTCACTCGCAAGCAGTGCTCTGTGTTGTCAAGTCTCAGCGTTGGGCTGAGATCCTCCCCTTTCCCTGCCTAACAACGCATCTTACTGAATGTTCTGTGGTTGATGCAATCATGATGTTTGAAATTTACGAACGTGTCCAACAGCTGAAAGATCTGCGAGCTTCAAGAAGGGAAAGCTCTCGAGAATTGCAGGTATTGCGTCGGGGAACTGATGTGTCTATCTTCGCTCCATGTTTGCAGAAATCTCGATTGCTGAATACACGCCAGTTGGTTGGAGTCGAACTGGAAAAGTACGGCCAAAAAGCTTTACAAGTACTGTATCTTCAAGTTGCACAGGCCTTCTTTGACGAGAGTGTAGATTTTGGCGGAGAAAGAGAGTTCAACATCTTCACGAGACGCCTCAAGCATGAAGAACCTGCTCAATGCTTTGCTACAGAGAAGCAGCCATGCGCGAACGTGAATCAATCTTTTGAATTGACATGTAATTGATCGATCTGTCAAAGGTGGCGAGAAAAGCAAAATGAAATGTTAGAAACATCCATCAATCTGCATCAAACCGATAAAAGCCTCCAGGCAAGATCGCCAAGAACCACTTGATACCTGTTACTGCTTGCTCCCAAACATGACAAGTGCTGCCAGGATTGTAAAGAGAAATTAAAAAAAGCAGCAAAGAGCTTGAAGAAGAGCAGCTCTGACCCAGGTCAATTCTTCATCTGCTCGTCCGCATAATTTGGAGGTTGACCACTTGGGCCAAGCAGACGAAATTCCAGGTTCCAGTACGACCTGTGGGCCCACGGTAATTTGATTCTTCCATTCGAGTGCTGCTTGATCAAATATTTGGCCTGTATCAGGTTACACAGATCAGTTCAGCATTCAAATTGATAAGTAGACATCCTGAGAATGCTGTGACCGCACAAGAATTGATAAGTGCGATATACAACAATCGAGGTATTTTGTTCATTCCTAGTTTTTGCAGTAATCGTCCTCGTGCATTCAGATTTATGTTCGCTTTTGAAAATTCAAAACTCAGCCGACAAAGCAAATGCAATCAAGCGGTTGAATGAGTCGTTGAGTGAACGAAAAGAAAGTGGAACTGATAAGAACAAGATTGATTTTCAGCATTTTGTGTCAATGTTTTTTTCTGAAGAGGTGAGAAAACGTCTTAAATGAGCTACGCTAATTTGCACTTTTGGGTATTCTAGGCTGAAGTTCATTGGCTACTCAAAAATATGCCAGTATCTACCAATGGAACATCATTTAACACGTCAAAAGAAAAATTGGACCAGCTTCATAGCAGCTTGAAGTTAAAGTATGAAAAGCAGCAAGAAGAAAGGCAGAGGCTTCAGTGGGAGCTTGAATCCGTATATTGCCTCTAAGTTCTTTCATGGGAGCGTTTGATTTCTCTTTACAGTTGGATTTGAAGAGTGTTGGGCAGAACTTACAAAAACTGATATCTGACACTGATGAATTCGAAGCTTCGAAAGCAAATGCATTAATGATGGAACGCAGAAAGCTTGAGCAAGAACATATAGTACATCATGTTTGGAATAGCACCATCTGGCTCACTTGATACATTACAGGACATCTTAAGCAGTAAGATTCAAGAGATAGAGATAGGCATCCAGGTAATGGCTGTTTGCTAGAATATCGATCTTGTGACCAAATCTACAAACAGAACACAAAGTCTAAAATGAAACAAGAAATATCAAGAAACAAGATATTGAGACAACAAGCATCGGGCGCAAGAAGAAAAGTAAGTTTCGACCATCTGTGAAATAAAACGATGGAAAAACGCGCCGGTGGCAGCCTGTCCAACACGGCACTGCGGCAGCCAGTGGGCCGCCGGGGGTCCGAGGCTCCCACCGTTGCGGCCCGGCACTCAGGCACGGGCCGGGCCGTCCCACGGGCCGGGGGCCGGCGGGGCTGAGGGTCCGACCCGAGTGATGACTGTCGGAAGGGCCTGTACTAGTATCGGTCTGCCGCTTCAGAGGCCCTACTCAGTGGTTCTGCTCCCTCCTGCCTTACAGCCCTGAGGGCCCACTGCCTCCCTCCTTGCTCCTCCGCCCGCTGCTGCTCGTCTCTGAACCAATCTGATCCTTCTATCCTGCCCCTGCTTGTCACGGTTCAAACGTAGCACTAGCGTTCTTGGCTATCATCGCACTAAGGCTATCTGCTTCAACGTTCTGTCTGCGCAGACTGCAGCGATGCGGAAAGTCAGTGATGATCCAACAAGTACACCGAATCGAGGAGTAGCAGAAATGATAAGACAAGATTTGGAAGCGTCCATCCAAAGCATTTCACTTCAAGCTGTGTCATGCATTGAGACGGTGTGTTGTGTTCCTATAATGGAGTGTCTGCAAGATACCTTTTGCGCTTTGTTCCCTTTGATCTTTCATTCAATGCAAACAATGATTCAGTGTGCAGGTGCAAGATTGTTTCAACTCAATAGCAAAAGTGCCCGAGTCGTTCTCATCTGGAGTCTCAAGGTTTGCTCAGCTCTGAATATTCCATTCCCATTCACAACCTGATTCTTCATCCAGCGGTGTGAAAGCCCTGCCTCTGCCAGGGCATGGTCGGAAGGTATCTGATATACCAGGCTTCTGTCGTTTGTGCTCCTGCCTGAATCGAATGTGTCAGGTGGTAAGACTGGTGAAGCACGACCCGAATGATGCTCAAAGGGACATCAATGATCCCGAATGTTGGAACTGGGAGAAGCTTGGAGAACTGCAACTCAAACGAGCCAAAACTGTTGGAGCCGAACGCTCAACATCGAGCTCGAACGAACCTCACAACGTTATGGCACAGAGCTCACTGCCAGTGAAACTCATCAAGAATAAGTGAGACGTTCAAGAACTGAAGATCGAGATAAACACTCAAAAGGTTTAATTGGGTTAACACAAACTACTTTTTACACCCTGAGCGGGAGAGCTTGGCATAAGGCTGCCATGCAGGATTTGGAACGGCCTTTTGCCAGTTCTTGTTGGATACGGTTACTCTTGCACGCTCCAAGGGAGCAACATCTGACGGGTCCTTGACATGATCGTCGTCCCAGTAATTGTACTCATTTTGCATCCCCGAGACAGAATCGACGTAGGCCTCGTTGCAAGGATCATTCGACTCCTCTTGATCAGACAGGCCGTCCGAGTGGCTTCCTTTAGCAACTGGGTCTGAGAAGAGCGAACCGTAAACGTTCACTCCAACAGATGCAAGTTTGTTCCAGCTTTTGGCCTCCTCCGTTTGAGCGTCACTGGCATTGGTCAAGTGAGCGATTCTCTCCCCTCTCATTGCAGGGAGAGGAATAACTTTGTTGAACATGTCACTGCCGTCAACGTTAACACCATTCATAATAAGTTTGTTGTCATCGTCGTAATCCGATTCGACGGTTTTCAGATTATCAGCAGTCCACACAAGGAAAGGGTGCGTCTTACTTTCATCGTTGTGCTTCCACAGTGAACGATGAAAGATAGAATTCAAGTCCTTGCCGCGTGTGAAGCTAGCTTCAAGTGGCGCAGTCTTTGTATTGTTCTCTGGGGACTCGGGGCCAGGTCCCAGCGTCTTGACGAATGGAGATTGCATCAGCTTGGGAGTTTTTCTCCTCATCGAACCTACAGCAGCCAAAGACCCTCCAATGTTTTCAGCAATGTCAGCTGATCTCCCTAAGACGCCCAAGTGAACCTGCCGGTTCATGACTAGCGCAGCTCTTCTTGCTTTCCTCGATCTGGCCTGCAATCTGAAATACCGCTTGCTCGCACAATCAAGAGCAGAAGTGCATTGCAGCCGGACTCCCGGCGTGATCCCTCTCAAAGATATCATCATCAGCAAGCATGCGCACCCAACACCCAACGCCGCGGCGCCCAACCCTCCCTGCCATGACAGTCGACCCCGGGCCATGGCTCTTCGCTGTCCGCGGATAGGGGGGGGATGAGTTTCAGCAGATATGGGGCAAGTGCGGGGACGAGGCACAGTGCTCTCATTTTCAAAACTACCCCACCCTCGAAAATAATTAATGCATGACCCATGATACCCCCCGTTCTTGATAGTACCCCTACTCAGATATGTAATTTTATTTAAAATACACCGGGTCTATAGAACTAGAACCCACCCCCCTACTGCAACACCCCCGTCGCTCCCTTTAGGGTGGCTTTCGGTGTCGGAGCAGTGGCGTGATGGCATGGTAAGGGAGACTTTCGCTGGCTAGAAAGGAGAGGCAGAAGCTCGGGGAGCGCATGGAGAAGAGAGCTGGTTGTTACAAGAGAGTGAGAACACCTGGGGGGCCCTGAGACCTTTCTTCTCCTCCACTTGTTTGTGCGACCCACAGGTCGATCAGGTTGGGCGTGAGAATATTACCTCTGGATGGCCTCCAGTACAGCAGAGCCGTGGCTCACCAGCGAATGCCATGGCTTGCTGCTGAAGAAGAGTGAGAGCAGAAACATGTTTGAAAGCGCATGGAAGGAGAAACTCATGTGCTGGGTGTCCCATGGTGTAATGTATATGCGGCAAGCTGAGGTGGTAGTCTTCCGGGCAAACCAAGGGAGCAAAGCCCAGGAGAAGATCGCAGTTGCAGATGATGGTCAGATTCTTTCTTTGGTCGACTGGGTGCTGAGTGAAAATGCAAAGGATCTAAAAGGCGAAAAGTTCACGTTGAGGAGGAAAGATGATGCAAACATTTTCTTCAGCTTCAAGGCCAGTACGACTCAAGAAGCCGGGGCTTGGGTGAGCTTTCTCAAGACAAAGATTCAAACGCTTCAAGACAAGGCGGAAGCTGCTCGAGCTGCACGTGGCAATGTCAACGACAAAGAGAATGAATCGGCGAGTCAAGCCCACGGGTCCCAACCCAACGCTCACAAGGGACCAACTTCTAGGAATCAGCTGCATGGAATCAACATCTCTTACATGTACGACAACGGCGATCACTATGTCGGAGACTTTCACTTCGGTAAGAAGCATGGGACTGGGCGATACACGCGCAAGGATGGCTCTGTTTACGAGGGCGAATATCAGAATGACCAGAAGCACGGCAATGGAAAGCTCATATACAAGAGTGGGGATACGTTTGTTGGGACGGTAAACCCGCTGGGTGGTCTGCAGCCTGCTGATTATTTTGCAGTGGAAAGAAGGTGTTCAATGTGGATTTGGTGTTTGAAATGCGCGGATGGAAGAGTATATGAGGGTGAATGGAAGGATGGCAAACAGCACGGCAAAGGAACGTTCAAATCTGCAGTGAGTAGCTCGGAGTGTTATGTAGGATATTTGATGCTCTTGGTGTCCTTTTCTTGCAGGATGGCGGTGGTGTCTATCAGGGAGAGTGGATGAATGGCGTGAAGCATGGACGCGGAAAGTCGTCGAGCAGGTGCTTTTGCACAGCAACAGCCTGTCGGGTGACTTTTGACCTCCAGTGATGGGCACGTGTATGATGGCGAATGGAGGAACAACAAGAAAGAGGGGTTAGCGCGTTCTGATTGCTTCCTGCCTGTATTGCGGTTTTTGATTGAATGAAACTGCGGTTTCCTTCAGGCGTGGAAAGCATGTCAGGCCCGATGGCAGTTCTTATGATGGCGAATGGAAGGTACTCAATTGAGCGAACGCGATCATGTTCATGGTGGTGAGTGTTGCACATCAGAACGACAAGAAGCATGGGAAGGGCACCTACAAGTACACGAATGGAGATTATTACGAAGGAGAGACCAAGAATGGGTGAGAACGACGAGGATGCTGAAGCATTCGTCACATGGGATTTGACAGGTTGAAACACGGTTACGGCATCTTCAAAGCTTCAAACGGTGCACGTTACGAAGGAGAGTGGGTAGAAGGCAAGAAACACGGACAAGGAACGTACACGTCCAACCAAGGCAGGCATTGCAAGAGAAGTGAGATGGGACCTGAAAGTTCTTTCGGCAGGCAAAGTCTACAAAGGAAAGTGGAAAGACGACAGGCCTTGTGATGCGCCCGACACGGTAGTGTAACTGATTGCGAAGGTCTGATATGTGAAACTCACTGTCGTGAACTTTCTCAAGGCCTCCGGCTCCAACGACAAGCAGGAGAAGGAGAAGGCTGAGGGCAACAAGAACTACTTCGGTTTCTTCCAGGCTCGAGGAAATGCTCCACAGCAAGCAAAGCAGCAAGCGCATGGACCTGAAGACGAGCAAGCTCGTGCGAAAAGAGAGCAGGAGGAAGCAGCAGAGAAGTGAATCTTCTGCCTGTTCGATGACATCTCTCTTAGCGATGGCAACAGGCGTGCTGCTGAACGGGCTCGCCAGCGCATGGAAGGTGACCTTCATGTTCTCGTCGCTTCCTTCCTCACCTTGGTCCCAGAGGAGGAGGCGATGCGAGCAGCCAACTTGAGCGGCCCCGTGATGAAGGCATGTTCCATCCCACTGGTTTCTCCTCTCACAGACCCTTTCAGGATCTGGAGCCTCAGCTAGACAAGATCAAAGTCGCCTCCTGCCCTCCCACTCTCTCTCACTCTCTGATGTTCTGCTCATCAGGCTGCTTCTAAGAAGTCGGCACAAGCTCTCCTGCAGCATGTCTTCAAGTATCATCCCCCACGGAACAATCCCAACGAGGTGAGGACCAACAAGCCGTTGCCTGCCACAACTCATCCCTTGCTGCTCCAGATCCCGAGTGACTTCTCGGACGCCATGATGAGGAAGACTCTACTCAAGACCATCAGGATTTACCACCAAGACAAAAACTCCATCGGCAAGTCGCTGCCATGTGCTGCCCATCATTGACTTGCTCTCAGAGCTCTACGGGCTGGAATGGCATCTCTTGTGCCGTGAGATCACGAAGCAGCTCAACTCAAAGTTCGAGTTGTACAAGCAGTGAGCGACGATCTCACGTCTTGCTGGAGGATAATGAAACAATCGCGCGCTTCTCCCCTCTGCCCTTGTCATTTCCGGCTTCGAACCTCCATCAGCTGCGACTGCATTAGCGTCTCTCAGTCGCTCTCACACCTCCCACCTTGCCGACAGATTTCCTCATGAAGCGAGCCTCGTGTGGAAGCGGGTAGCCGACTGCTCTGTCACCATGTGAGGCACATGAGAGGGAGACAGGTTAGAGTTACTGCCAACGCATCCTTCCTTGGCTGTCCACGAGGAAGATGTATGCTACCTGTCAAGACACCAAAGGGTGAAGGAGCAACACAGTCGTCATGAAACGTCTACCAGCCTGTTCTTCACGTGGAGCGCCTTCCTGAATTCATCGCTAGAACCGAAACACATGTGGATCCGATCATGCTTGTCCGGTTGGATCCTCTTCTTCATAGATGAGATCATCCAGCCCTTGATCAGCCGGTAGGCCACCCCCTCCACAAACGAGAGCTGAACCACCTGCCATGGCACTCAGACCTGTCGACAGCTCTCGAGGAGCTGGTCCTGATCTCGCGTACCTGCAACTGAGGGTACTCCTGCTTCACTTCGTCTATGTGCTCTTCCCACGACTTGAGCATCGGTCTCGCAAAGTCTCGCATGAAGACAGTGACACACGTCACCTTCCCTCTCAAGATCTGCACGAGGTCGTGCTCCTTGCCATCAGCCGTGAAGCACTTCACGTCGGGGAAGATAATTGAGTCTGATGCCGGGACTAAGTTGTCGTCAGCATCGAAAAGTTTCCCTCCTGTCCGATGCAGCTCGTTCATCTCGGGGAAGCGCCCCATGTTTACCTCCTCATCAAGTGCCTTGCCTCTCTCGTCCCTCTTCTTCTTACTGAAGAGCAGTCCAAGCTCATAGAAGAACCCTTTCTTTCTCGCAGCACAAGGCGTCGCATGGAAGCTTCTTCGCTCACTGTGAAGGTGAAGAGGAGAGGCCGAGGAAAAGGAGCAGGAGGAGCAGGACGAGAGCAACCAGCTTCTTCCTCTCGTCTGCTTCATCTCTCTCATCATCCCTTCTCTTCCCGCTCCCGTCGCCCTCAAGGCCGCATGCGCCATTCTCGCGAGCATTGAGCTCGAACTCCTCGAGGACAGCAAACCACCACTTAATGTCGAAACACTGGATTGCAAAAATCTCCTGTGTGATCATCGGGGGCGGGCTCAATGGAAACATACTTAACTAATATTTTGAAGGGCTGGACCGTTTCATTATTGACTCCCGTCAAACGGAACTTGGGAAATAGCTGGCTAGTTTTCAAGACATGTCATCTTTCACTCTCACAGACGACACGGCTCAGTTGGCTCTTAACAGGCTCTGAAGGAACGAGCTCTTGCTGCACAACTTGGACATCTTGGGAGGCTCGCTGGTCGGATCGGAAGGCTGAGGCCTGACGACTCTTGGCTGCGTCTCCTCCTGAGAGTACTCCTCCATGGACGAGGAGAGATCCCCCCGCCTCCCCTGCTTCACTCTCATCATAACCTCACACGTTCACGAGCTGCTCACCTCTCGGCGAGGTCTCCCGGAGCTCGTCTTGGTGTCTTTGGACTGAGCTTGCTGAAGCTTTTTCTTCAAGCGGCGCTTCTCTGCGAGGAGCAGGATTGAGATGGAGCCAGGGAGAAGTCGCAGGTAGAGCAGGAGGAGCATGTAGAGGAGCACGCAAAGGAAGAGGAGGAGGAGGAGAGGGAAAGGAGGAGAAGGGGGGGGGTGAAGGAGGAGGCGAAGGAGGCGAAGGAAGAGGAGATGAAGGAAGAGATGTCACCTCTCGCAACATGGATCGTCTTGACCTTCTCCCACGCCAACTTTCGGATCTGCCTTCTTATCTCGGTCTTCTTCATGTACGGAGGAAGGGACCTGTCAGCCTGTGACTCTTCGCTGCCTCACACAGTCATCGCTCACCCCGCGGGAACGTCTTTCCTCGTCAACAAGCCCTTGGTGTACCTGCGGGCCAGTCAGCAAGTGCCTCGATATGGCTCCTGCTCACTTTCTCAGCCACTCGTACCATGGCCCGTGCCAGTCATAGAATTCTCTGCACCCACCATCATCAAGTCACGAGCAACCGCGCATGTGCTCGGCAACCTGTTCCTTCCTGGTACCTTCCAGTCGCCGTTCTTGCATCGTTCCGTCCAGGGGTCGAAGTCAAGGATCTGAGAGCAAGAGGGAGGAATCAGAAGATAGAGGACCGTGCGAGAAAGAGACCGTGTCGAAGTCTCCCTGGAACTCATTCAAGAACTTGGTGTCTCGATGCTTCGCCACGATCGGCTCGTAGATCCTGTTGAGGTTCGGGACCTTCTGAAGGATGCTCCAGGGCAACTGCCAGTCCTCATGCTCAACCACACGGCAGCAGGAGGAGCCGACGTCTTACCGTCGTTCCTTCATGGTCCACCACTACTTGATCCGTCGAGATCAGAACCTTGGCGTTGAACTCCTTGCGGAATTTCGCCTGCACGACCATCAGCTCAGGTTCACCAGCATGCCGAGTGAGACCTCTTCGCGCCTCAGCGCCAACTCTATGTGCGACTGCGAAGAAGGCACAGTAATGAACATC